TGCCAGGCGTGTATGTGCCATCATTATGATTGATGAGAGATGTCACTTGTGCGCCATGCAAATGTTTACAATGTGTCACTGTAAAACACTTGACGAGCCACATTATAACTGCCACATTCAAGGAAACATACCTAGATAAAGTTTGAGCAATAAAGCCTGTGGTTCATCTGCACAATCCATCAGACTTTCTGGAAGGTCGCTGCCTACAACGGTTGCAGCTGTTAGTTGATTAGGGCAGACAAGGGGGGATAGAGAATTCTAATTTTTTTTATTTTAGTCCCAAATGTTTAAACACTGATTACCACGTCAACGTTTTCCAGTATGAAGAAAGAGTATATTGTCTGAAGTCATGAAGCCACGTCTTGGTTCCCCTGCGAATCAGACATACCGCGTCTTTGTTTGTTGTTGCGGCACTCAGCAATATGACGGCAATATGTTAGTAATTGAGTCTAGACATCATGAGCATCGATGACAAGCATCTACCAAAGCCAGCGAGCCTCTCTCTCTCTATGTGTGTGTGTGTGTGTGTGTGTGTGTGTGTGTGTGCGTGCGTGCGTGCGTGCGTGCGTGCGTGCGTGCGCCCGGACGAATGTCGACTTTATAGTGCTGGTCCAGTGAGATAAGGTGCCGCAGTTTAACATGAACACCCCACTCAGACACAATGTAAAAACTCCTATACGACCAGTCCTTGTTTTAGCCCCTTATTGCCGAGAACCATCTTTTAACGTCTTTTGGTATGATGCGGCTGGGGATCGAAACCCGGACCTTCCGCTCTCCAGGCGGACGCTCTACCGCGAAACCACATGCTTAAGAACAAAGGATCTTTGAGGCTTGGATAATCATGAGTGTGGGTGGGTGGTGTCATCATCGATACTGATAATGATACGTACCCCAAGATCATTTTTATTTGTTTGATGAGTAGATAATCTCAACTCAACTCCTTCAACTGATCATACAGTAAGACAATTAAGCTACTCCATTGTTTACATAGTTAATCTCATGCCTATTGAACCTGTGCTGAGAGTAAGGTATTTTAGATTAATTAAAGGAAATTGTAACATATATACTCCCTAAACTGTGAGTCCCCTATCCCTACTCAGTACTTTAATCTAATAAGGACTGATCCATTACACCTGTAGGTATAATCCCTCTTTGCCTAGGTAAAATTGTCTAACAATTGGGACGTCTAACTAATGGGACGTCTAACTAATGGGATATAACCGGGTGGGTAGAGAGAAACACAATCTCAGTAACATCAGTGGTTAGTGCCCGTTAGTAGAAATAAGCACCAATCTCGCTCATCAAATACATTGCAAGTCACATTACTCACTTTTAATAAGTATTAACAAATGCTTACAATAAAATGCTTTATTTACATAAATTACAGTTGTATTCAGATGTATATTCTACATGTATGTGCACAGATGAAGACAGATATCAGAAGCAAGAAATAGGAGTGCATCCAAAATTATTGACAACACACAGTCGTGTCTCACATTCACTTGACAGCACATTCATTTACAAGGCGGAGTCACAAAAATAATGGTTTGCACTTTGACGTAAAAGATACCCAGACGTTTCTATATATACTCTTCAAAAAAAGAAACTTGACATTGATGTCCAAATATCTAAAATAATTACATTGAATGAGAACCAAATAAGTCAAACAGAAAGATGATGTGTCTATAATTCGCGAAAACACATGCAGGCACATAAACGTAGCGTTTGGGGATCAATTTTACAGCTTCATCCAAACGCAACCGCCTGTAAAAAACGTGCAGCACAGGATCCTGCATTTAGGCATGCAGGCCCACCTGCTGAATGGGTATAAAAATCCACATCAACGGCTGTTCATACAGTCCTTATAACGGCAGTAGAGGCTGTGACAGAATGCCAAGACTGAATGCAGCTCAACGGAACAACGCCATTGGGAGATTACAAGCTGGAGCAACTCAGCAAGAAGTGGCCAGGCACTTTGGCGTATCCAGACAGACAATCTCCGCACTGTTGAACCGATACAACAACACCAACAGAGTTGACGACAGACCAAGGTCAGGAAGACCAAGGGTGACAACCCAAGCACAAGATCGATACATCCGGCTGCGACACCTCCGAGACCGCACTACCACAGCCAAGTTTACAACCACACAGATCCCTGGGGTACGCAGAATATCAGATCAAACGGTAAGCAACAGACTGAGGGAGGCTGGACATTTTGCACGAAGACCTGTTCGACTTCATGTATTGACCCCACGTCATCTGGCGGACAGTTCCAGCAGGACAACGCTCGACCGCATATTGCACGCGTTTGTCAGGACTTCTTAGACCACAACAACATCCAGACATCCAGCCCGGCCACCAGATTTGTCCCCGATTGAGCATCTGTTTGACGAGTTGGATCGACGCGTTCGCAAAAGGAATCCACCGCCCCTAACACTTCCGGCGCTACTTGATGCACTTCAGCATGAATGGAAGCACATCCAACAGCGTGTTATTGACAACTTGATTGCATCTATGGGTCGTCGGTATCAAGCGGTGATTGATGCACGTGGTGGGCACAACCGATACTGACATTAACTGTATCGTGTACGTGTGTCTGTCTAGGTGACACGATTAATGTTTTGAACATTGTGTACATTGATCTTCAAACAGTGTTTCAATTATGGTTTCTGTGTCCTATTTGGAAACAATCGCATTATATTACATTTTGAAAGTCAGTGTCAAGTTTCTATTTTTGAAGAGTATATTTGTAGAATTTTGACACAAACGTGTGAACCTGCGAGGGGTGACCGTAAAGCTCTCGGCCTAACTGCGAAGGATGCATGGTACACCCTCAACAGTTTGCATGTATTAACTGTACTACTTTCAATACTTACAGGCTGCTTTTAAACCATCTACACAACCAGGCAGCATATATATTTCAGCTGGCATCAAAGTGACTAGGCATTCTCTTGATGGAAATGAACAAAATTGGCTCATAGGCTGTCATGAAGTATCTCCAACTGAAAGGGCAAACACTACCAGTCTTCCGTGCGGACATCGTGTCAACTTCAGGAGATTGTGCTCATTTAAAGCTGGGCAGCAGAGGTAAAGAGAGCCATAACGAGCCGGAAGACTGCCACCACAAAGGAAAAGGTTGATAAAATACACGATATGAATACACATGATCGACGACCACACGTCAGATAGCCACTATGGTAGGCATCTCTCATGAGAGCTGAGTGAGTGAGTATGGTTTTACGCCGCTTTTAGCAATATTCCAGCAATATCACGGCGGGGGACACAGGAAATGGGCTTCACACATTGTACCCATGTCGGGAATCGAACCCGGGTCTTCGGCGTGACGAGCTTACGCTTTAACCACCGGGCTACCCGACCACCCCTTGTGAGAGTTGAGAACATTCTGAGGAATGAACTGGGAATGACAAAGGTTTTAACACGCAGTGTCCCAAACCTTCGGATTCCTGATCAGAAATGATCCTGGCTTATCACCTGAGAGTTCACGTCGATTTGATTCAGACCCAGCCGACTTTTGTTGAGCGATTTTAACCATGGATGAGTGTAAACATGAAACGTCTTGTGGACTACCTCCCGAAAGATCATAGCATTAACGACCGATATTTGGCTAATCTAGCAACTGCGTATGAATATCAATGGTAAACGTAGAAAACGCACAAAAGGTGTGTTGTTCCACCAGGTCAATGCACAGATCTCCACCTCTTCAAAACCTAAAGAAATAACTGTCAGGCATGCTTTATGCAAATGCTGATGACGTCATTTCTGCTGTGGAGGGCAGTTTACACCACCAGGAGGAAGCCTTCTTCGTAAGTGGGACCCAAGCAGTCTAGCATCCTTGGCAGAAATGTGTGAAGTCAACCTTGGAACCTCTACGTAGTCCATCACAGCTTGGCTCAGAACTTTTCAGCAACCCCTTCGTAAACACGTTAGTGTTATAGGTGTTCAGGGTTATACGGAATTTCAATCTTTTAACTGTCATATGCACAGTAGCATATCGTCATCTGCCTTACACTGCCTGAGTAAGAAATAAAAAGATTTTCTTTGGAAAATTTTCAGGCAGTAGCTTCTCTTTATCATGTCTGGTGTGACAAATGTACCCTGAGAAATCGTATTTAAATAACATATTATTTAGGTGCATGAGAACCATGACTATTTGACAGACCCATGACCATAAGCTAAATTTAAATAGCAATATATATAGCAGACATAACAACCATTGAAAACAGTCTCCAAAATTAAACAAAAAACTCAAACATGTCTTAAACACGCAACAGTTCCAAAAACTGCAAAAGAATTTTCCAGATTAGGTAGCAATATATAAACGATTTGCTTCACATTCCACAGATCAAATGGCTATGAAACTAATACACTTTTTTTGTGTGGTTTAGAACCAATCGAACCATACGTTGAGAAAAGACATGAATGGAATATAAAGAACTGTTTTATAATATTTTATTTGTTACATACATGAGAAGTAACTTGTCATTCAACTAGGACCTTTGTTACATGAACAGTAATTTACTTTTTATTTCTACCCAACATTTCACTTCACCTCACCCAACATGCACACCTCTCATGTATTGTAAACCAAGTCACAGCCGGTTTCAGAATCAAGAGATGGTGGAACATAGTGAATACAAACCCAAGAAGTACTGACGATGCAATGTGTAGGTGTACAAGACTTACAACTGACATCAAATCCAGATTTACAAGGGCAACAAATGTCAGCCCTAAACAGCGGATGAGTCAGGACAAAACAAGCCTGTGCGATGGATGGTAATGCACAGTGATCAGTTGTTCAGAATCCCCACTTTCTCAAACAGTAATGCATAAAAAAGGAGTTAGTGAGTGAGTTGGGTTTAACCTCGCTTTTAACAGTATTCCAGTTATATCGCGGCATGTCAGCTTAATGTGGGAGGAAAGCCTGAAGTGATGCAGGTCTCAGACATTTACAACTTGGGTGAAACCCACAAGCACGGGTATGGTGCTGACAAACCTAGAAACACACAATTTTAAACCCACAATCATTGGTTTTTGGCGTGCCTAATGGTCGCAACTCTGCACAGCGAATCGCAGCGTCTTAGACGACTGGGCCACCCGTGCCCCTAATGCATAAAAAGAATGGAATAGTAGCCAGATAGCACATTATCACAGTATCGAATGTGTAAAGTTGTATGCTGCTTTTAGCAATATTCTGGCTTTATCATGGCAGGGGACACTGACATTCTCTAATGTAAAGTGCCATTTTAGAGCAGTCCATACAGCACACACAAAACATGAAACGTCATGTCACTTCGTGTGTGATGGTGAGTAAACTGTAATTCGAACATGTAACGATCCCTCGAAAGTATCTCAATACATTTCTAACTTACACTTGTCAAAAGCAGTCTCAGGCCAGATGTAATCTTCACCACCAGTCCTCTTTCACATGTTTATAACTTCATTAACATTTGTTTAAGACTATAGAGATTGGCACTTATGCTAAATACGCAAGTGTGTAAAACAACTTGGACCAGTATGTAAACCTTTCTCATCAATGATGGTTGGCCATATTTTTGTGCCTTAATTAAACACCCTGCCAAAGAGACACACTTTTGTTCTACAGGATGGGCAGAGATGACAATGTAATATTTCATTGAGTACGGCCTAATTATTATGATGGTGTAAAGTTTGATTGGGCTCAAATAATTTGGCTGATGCTAGATTTTAGGCTTGTATGTTCCACTTCACACACTTTACAATAAGAATAGCATTGAAACATCTTATTTCATAATGAAAACGTCATTTGGTTCAATCTTAATTCTCTTGAGCCGAACAACTGGACTAAGCATGGATCTCTTCAGAAACAGCTTGTCCTCAAATGGCACATCCACCTCACCAGTCTGCATCCTGTCTTCTATGGAATGCTGAGGAAGATTGGAAGGTTCTGGTTCCTGTTTGATTCTAACACTTGGGTCAAGTCCCGATGGTTCAAGTTGTGGTTCCAGGGTGTTTCTGTCAGCCGCATAGTCTGTGATTGGTTCCATCTTGACTTTCACAGCTATTGTATCATCAACCATTTCAGTGCTGCAGGCAGATGTAGAAGCCTTGCTGACATCAGCAAGAGCACTTTCAGACAAGGTGCAACTTGCACCAGCTTGTGTATCAGCTGCATGAGCTTCAATGTGATCCGCAAGTCCATCTGTGGTGTCAAACTTGACCTGACACAAGTTACATTCAAAGCACATGCTGTCCTCTTCCTCCTCGTCTGCTGTGCCTTCATGTGTCTCTTCCATCTTGTCCGTTGTGCTTACTTGGGCCTCTTTCTCCTCGCCTGTTGTGTCTTCGTGTGACTCTTCCTCCTCGTCTGTTGTGTCTTCGTGTGACTCTTCCATCTTGTCCGTTGTGCTTACTTGTGCCTCTTCCTCCTTGTCTGTTGTGTCTTCGTGTGACTCTTCCTTTTTGTGTGTTGTGCCGGTTTGTGCATGACATCTCTGAGTCAAACACTTGCATTTCGCATGATAAAGTTTGTGATTCCACAGAAGGTAAGGGCTGGAATAGAGTCTGGGGCATTCATCACAGTAATATCTTCCATTCAAAATTTTACATTTGTCCAAAAAATTATGTCCAAACATGTTGCCACAGTATTCAAGAGGCGACTTCTTGGCTTTGACAAATGACCCTCCCTCAACAGCTATTAACGATTTATACACATTGGTTTCCTTTTTCTTGTACTTAGTAATGTCCAGGTTCTGAGTCGGCCTTCCCTGCAGGTTCAGAGAATTGTCTCCATTGACATCATCGTCACTGGTAATGGGTGTTGAGTTATATACTTCATCCTCACTGTCAGATGAAAGTCTGAGACCTGTCCTCCTGTCACCTCCAGTAGCTGGTTTACTTTTCTTCCCCGGTTCCTTGGCAATGGACTTGGACTTCAAAAACGTTGACCCCCTGTCATCAGATATTAACGTTGTGTACAGAAGGGTTTTCTGACTCTTGGCATTACTGTTCCCAGTGTTCATCTCCTTAAGTTTCTTCACAGGCCTCCTCATCAGGTGCATTGGCTTCTGAACATTGTCATCATCATCATCATCATCAGCAGCAGCATCACTACTCTCACTATCATCATCATCAGCAGCAGCATCACCACTCTCATTATCAACAGCAGCAGCAGCAGCATCACCACTCTCATTATCATTATCATCAGCAGCAGCAGCAGCATCACCACTCTCACTATCATCATCATCACTGTCAATTCTGATGTTCTTGTCCAGTTTTCTGTTACTGTTTCCACATCCCAATTCTATTTTGGTCTGGGTTGCAACCCCTAGAGTTTGCTGAGAGTCTGTCTCCTTACCTTTTACCATCGGTGTCATGTCTTCTGGATGAATGATCTTAATTCTCTTAAGCCGAACAACTGGACTAAGCATGGATCTCTTCAGAAACAGCTTGTCCTCAAATGGCACATCCACCTCACTAGTCCGCATCCTGTCTTCTATGGAATGCTGAGGAAGATTGGAAGGTTCTGGTTCCTGTTTGATTCTAACACTTGGGTCAAGTCCCGATGGTTCAAGTTGTGGTTCCAGGGTATCACCCACATAGTCTGTGACTGGTTCCTTCTTGACTTTCACAGCTATTGTATCATCAACCAGTTCAGTGCTGCAGGCAGATGTAGAAGCCTTGCTGACATCAGCAAGAGCACTTCCAGACAAGGTGCAACTTGCACCAGCTTGTGTATCAGCTGCATGAGCTTCAATGTGATCCGCAAGTCCATCTGTGGTATCAAACTTGACCTGACACAAGTTACATTCAAAGCACATGCTGTCCTCTTCCTCCTCGTCTGTTGTGCCTTCATGTGTCTCTTCCATCTTGTCCGTTGTGCTTACTTGTGCCTCTTCCTCCTTGTCTGTTGTGTCTTCGTGTGACTCTTCCTCCTCGTCTGTTGTGTCTTTGTGTGACTCTTCCATCTTGTCCGTTGTGCTTACTTGTGCCTCTTCCTCCTCGTCTGTTGTGCTTACTTGTGCCTCTTCTACCTCGTCTGTTGTGTCTTCATGTGACTCTTCCCTTTTGTGTGTTGTGCCGTTTAGTGCATGACATCTCTGAGTCAAACACTTGCATTTCGCATGATAAAGTTTGTGATTCAACAGAAGGTAAGGGCTGGAATAGAGTCTGGGGCATTCATCACAGTAATATCTTCCGTTAAATATTTTACATTTGTCCAAAAAATTATGTCCAAACATGTTGCCACAGTATTCAAAAGGCGGCTTCTTGGCTTTGACAAATGGCCATCCCTTAACAGCTATTAAAGATTGGTACAAATTGGTTTCCTTTTTCTTGTACTTAGTAGTGTCCAGGTGCTGATTCGGCCTACCCTGCAGGTTCAGAGAATTGTCTCCATTGACATCATCGTCACTGGTAATGGTTGTTGAGTCATATACTTCATCCTCACTATCAGATGAAAGTCTGAGACCTGTCCTCCTGTCACCTCCAGTAGCTGGTTTACTTTTCTTCCCTGGTTCCTTGGCAATGGACTTGGACTTCAGAAACGTTGACCCCCTGTCATAAGATATTAGATTTTTGTACAGAAGAGTTTTCTGACTCTTGGCATTACTGTTCCCAGTGTTCATCTCCTTAAGTTTCTTCAAAGGCCTCCTCATCAGGTGCATCGGCTTCTGAACATTGTCATCATCAGCATCACCACTCACACTATCATCATCATCACTGTCAATTCTGATGTTCTTGTCCAGTTTTCTGTTACGGTTTCCATACCCCAATTCTATTTTGGTCTGGGTTGCAACCCCTAGAGTTTGCTGAGAGTCTGTCTCCTTACCTTTTACCATCGGTGTCATGTCTTCTGGATGAATGATCTTATGACTGAAGAGGACGTAAGGGTTTGGACAACTCTTCCCACACATATTGCAAATGTACCTTCCATTGTTGATCCAGCATCCTTCCAATTCTGGCATCTTATGAAACGCCTCTATCATCTCATCTTCACTCATTGTGTTGAAGGTCTTATGGTCGGATTTCGGACAACTTTTATCTGATGGCACAATGCTGGCTTTCTGGTCTGTTCCATGAGTATGGTTTCCAAACAGAACCAGATTAGTAAAGTGTTCTCCGCAAACATTGCAGACAATTTTCTTCCCATCCATGTGAAAAGGTTGCTTGTGTTTTTCCGCAGTTTGCATCCTTGGAGTGCCAGTGATGATGTTTGATTCCAAAGACATGACGAGTGAATCTGGCAGCACCACCTCTATTTTAGGGACTGTGGATCTGACAAACAAGAGTTATACAGATGTTACTATCACTGGCTACAGATATCATGCAGGCAATACTCACACCAATAGAGCTTCTGGTTTTCGGAAATGTGTCTTATCTAAATCCCCTTTGGGCAAGAAGAAAACTACATGTTATCTTAGCATGCATGTCAATGATATAGTACTAAGATAATAAACTCCAAGAGATTTTGAAGTTAATAAAGTATATATTCTCTCAAGCAATTATCTCAATGAGGTTATGTGATTTAGTCATTGATTAATAAAAACATAGGTCTGACTCTGACAAGAATGGAACACCTCCGTGGTCTAGTGGTAGAGCGTCCACCCGGAGAGCGGAAGGTCTGGGGCTTGATCCCCGACTGCGTCATACCAAAAGATGTTAAAAGACGGTACTTGTTGTTACCCTGTCTGGCGCTCGGCATTAAGGGCCTAAAACAAGGACTGGTCGGCTCGGAGTCAGTATACTGTGTCTGAGTAGGGTATCAATGTTAAACTGCGGCATAGTATCTTAGTGAGCTAGCACTATAAATCGGCATCAGTCTGGACTAGTACAAGCAGCCACACAAACAGACACACGTACATGCACGTCGCTATATAAGTGAAATAATCTTGGAGGCGATGTTAAACCCCATTTCACCTCACCTGACAAGCATGACAAGTGACTCCGAAAAATAGAATCCCCCAAAATCTGAGTAGTAGTTCACATGACACAAATATGCAAATATGTTCTAGGGGTTGACACTGTAATCATAAACCCAAGTAAGAGAAAGTCATTTAATATCACAGTCAGCAGTTATTCTAGTGAGGTTAGGTGAAATGGGGTTTAACGTCGCGTCCAAGATTATTGTACTTATATAGCGACGTGCATGTATGTGTGTGTGTTTGTGTGGCTGCTTGTACTAGTCCGGACTGATGCCGATTAATAGTGCTAGCTCACTGAGATACCATACCGCAGTTTAACATGAATACCCCACTCAGACACAGTATACTGACTCCGAGCCGACCAGTCCTTGTTTTAGCCCCTTAATGCCGAGCGCCAGACAGGGTAACAAGTACCATCTTTTAACGTCTTTTGATATGACGTGGTCGGGGATCGAACCCAGGACCTTCCGCTCTCCAGGCGGACACTCTACCACTAGACCACGGAGGTGGTCCCTGTTATTCTAGTCATATCTGGCAGCCTGTAATAATCAAATCTGGAACAGGCATCAATTCACACGGATGGGGCCTGATGACACAGTCGGCCAGATCACACATTGTGAACACTTGATACTAATTATGATAGTCTTCTTACAAAATGCAGGGGATACTTGAAGAGCTCCAAATAAACTATCTAATGCTACAAAAGAGCACATGAGCCCAATTAGTTTCAATTGCTTGCATACAAATATGCATGAAGAAAATGCACAAAACAATATCATATGACTGTGTGTAATAACCCAGAGCCTTTTCAGCATACAATCTCATTAAAATCAGACCGACCTTGCTGGAACTTTGACCGGCACTAATTTCAAATTGGCGACTGAGCTTCGAAACATATTTTGACAAATTCTCAATTTCAAATTTGAAACCTGAACAAAAGAACATTCTGGAATGGCTAACAGATGGTCTAGATTCTATGGATTCAGTGGTTAAACCCGTAATTATCGTTCGGAGTTCAAGTTTTTGAGGTTGCATGATTAGAAATCACATTCCGACTGTCACTTTCATAATCTAGTAAGCGATGCTCTGATTGGTCGGATGAAAGGTCGTTCTGAGGTGACCCCTAATGGGATGTCCTCAGATCTTTGTTTAGCGGTAGCGAGAACTGAGGTCTGATTTTAATGAGATTGTTCAGCATACATACTGGTACGTCATTACAGACCTACTGATCGAACACCGGCATCAAATGTCAGTGACCTCTACAGCAGTGAAACAATTGCAACTAAGTCCAACGTCTCTCTTACTGTAACATCCACACGTATTGCTGTTGTGAGCTAATGCTATATGTGACACAATTGGGGCATCACATGCACAGAGGCAAATTAGAGTCACCTGAAACAGCATTCTAAGAATTATGTTTGCAAAAAGTTCACCCACAGATACCCAAGAGGCTGGATCCAAAGGAGCAAAGATGTTTTGAATACACAAAGCGATCAAACGGCAATGACTGTCGTAAATCTATGATCAAGTATGAGAGTTACAATCGTCTTAGCGCTAAGATTGCTTTATGGAACTGGGCCTGCATTCCATGAAGGACATAAACCAGGGTTAGACACAGCTTCGAGTCCATTAAGTCTGAGATTAGTGAAAATCTTGAAATGATGAGGGGACTAGTTATTCTGTCCTAAAATCTAGTAACTTTACATCAACTTTCTGAAATAAGCTGTAAATTAGTTGGATATGACCAAAAGTGCCTATCCCTGGAAACGCCAAGGCCAATACATTCTCACACCAGCTACATATTGGTTGCCTGCAAACATGACAAGAGATGCATTACCTGAAACTATGTCATCATCATCATCATCATCATCATCATCATACTAACGTGCTGCATTTGAATCAAATACACAACAAGGCAGCATGTCACAAGGCATTCTCCATTGCTGAAAAGACAATGTTGGCTTCCACGCTATTATCAAGTATCTCCAAATGTAAGGGCTAACTCCAACAGACATCCCTGTGGACATAGGGTCAGTTTTAGGCGATGAAGTTTTTTCCTTTGCCACTGTAAAGAGCTTGGCTGCAGAGTTCAAGAGGGGAAAAGAGAGCCTCAAAGAGGATCCAAGATCCGGACGACCTTCAGTTGACATAACGTAGGAAAATGTTGATAAAATACACATGATCATGGATGATCAACCACTCACCACGTGTCACATTGCCAAAGCAGTAGGCATCTCTCAAAGGAAAGTTGAAAACATTCTGAGGACTGAACTGGGCATGGCAAAGGTTTTAGCATGCTTGAGTACTGATCAGAGACGCTCAAGGTTCATCATCTCTGAGAATTAATGTTGGTTAGAAGCAAAACTATCTGATTTTGTGGAGTGATTTGTAACCATGGATAATTCGAAGGTTCACCACTATATTCCAGAGACCAAACAACCGTCAGAGCAGTGGAAATTTCTAACGTCTCCTCTGAAGAAAAAGACAAAGTCTGTTCCATCAGCTGGCAAGGCGACCCTGAGGTCAGACCATTAATGGCCAATATTATCCAAATCTGCTGAGGCAACTGCCTGAGAATATCAGGCTAAATGTCTTGGAAATCTAACTGAAGCAAGGAATAAACTTGGCCACTAATCCGAGAACAGACAGACTTGTTGTTTTATCCCCAAACATAGTTATTTTACAAAACCACGAGTCTGAAATGAGCTGTCGACTAAATGGATATGACCAATGGTGTTAATAAATGCCAAATGTTTTCTTGTTCCACCAGACCAATGCACTGGTGTACAAACTTGTTATCGCCATGGTGGCAATGCATGATTGAACATCCACTCAATCACATTAAAATCAGATTTTAGTTCTCACAACCGCTAAACAAAGATCTGATGACATCCTATTACGGGTCACGTCAGACCGACCTTGCGCAATCTTTGACCGACCAATGGAATGAATGACAAGAAGTCGACATTAGCCAATCAGAAGGCAGCTTCCTCGTGCTTTACGTTACTAATTTCAAATTGGCAACTACGCTTCGAAACATAATTTGACAAATTCTCGATAGAAAAAATTGAAACCTGAACAAAAGAACATTCTGGAATGGCTAATAGATGGTCTAGATTATATGGATTCAGTCGTTAAGCCCGTAACTATTGTTCGGAATACCTCGTGTTAAAGTTTTCGAGGTTGCATGATTAGAAATAACATTCCGACCGTCACTTTCATGATCTGGTAAGCGACGCTCTGATTGGTCGGATGAAAGGTTGTTCTGAGGTGACCCATAATGGGATGTCCTCAGATCTTTGTTCAGCGGTAGCGAAAAACTAAGATTTGATGTTTATGAGATTGATATCCACTTAACTTTCAATCAAGACAGATTATTCTCTGGCTTTGACGTTTCCTAGTTTATGCTTCTGTTTCCGTTTTGTGTGTATAGTCATTGTAACATAAGACCACAATAAATTTATAATTAGATTTACATACAAGTTTTTATTTTCATATAGTGCAACTGTGTATTGGTACATTAACTTACGAGGAGACGATTCACATGATCATGAATGTTTTGTTGGACTAGGAATATTGTATTTTTCTTCAACATGTTCAAGTGCGTAAAGACAGAAGAGAACACTCAGTGATTTTGTACGTCTGAAGGTACTTAAGGCAAAAAAAAATGTTGGGGTGTTTTGTAGCATGATGGTGGGGATGAAAATCCTGATGATTGTGTAAAGTATGACTGAGCACTAATAATTTGGCTGAAGCTAGATCTGGAGGCTTGTGCATATTTCATTTATTTCACACACTGCATTAACAAAAAGAATAGAACTCAAATATCTTATTTCATAATGTAAACGTCATTTGGTTCAATCTTAATTCTCTTGAGCCGAACAACTGGACTAAGCATGGATCTCTTCAGAAACAGCTTGTCCTCAAATGGCACATCCACCTCACCAGTCCGCATCCTGTCTTCTATGGAATGCTGAGGAAGATTGGAAGGTTCTGGTTCCTGTTTGATTCTAACACTTGGGTCAAGTCCCGATGATTCAAGTTGTGGTTCCAGGGTATCACCCACATAGTCTGTGATTGGTTCCATCTTGACTTTCACAGCTATTGTATCATCAACCATTTCAGTGCTGCAGGCAGATGTAGAAGCCTTGCTGACATCAGCAAGAGCACTTTCAGACAAGGTGCAACTTGCACCAGCTTGTGTATCAGCTGCATGAGCTTCAATGTGATCCGCAAGTCCGTCCATGGTGTCAAACTTGACCTGACACAAGTTACATTCAAAGCACATACTGTCCTCTTCCTCCTCGTCTGTTGTGCCTACCTGTGCATCACACGTCTTAGCCACGTACATGTATTTCTCATGATAAAGTTTGTGATTCAACAGAAGGTAAGGGCTGGAATAAAGTTTAGGGCACTCGTCGCAATAATATTTTCCATTCATTATTTTACATTTGTCCAGGAAATTCTGTCCAAACACGTTTCCAAATGCGGAACTTTTGAGTTTCTCGTTCAAGTCTTTGTTCTGTTTTCTTTTCACCTCAGTGTCATGGGACATCTTATGTGTGAAGAGCAAATATGGATTGTCACAGACTGCTGGACAGATATCGCACTGATACTTGCCATTGACCACTTTACATTCATTGAGCCCTGGTAGACTATAGAACACCAACTTTGGATTAGCATTTGCAGAGTCTCCTGTTGAGGAATCCATCACCTGGTTCTCAAGAACCTCCTTGTGGGTCAATCTATGAGTGAACAGAAGGTAGGGGTTCTCATATGTTCTGGAACACTTGTCACACCTAAATTTACCAGGACTTGTCACTGTACAATCCCGTAATCCCGGTAGGGAGTGAAAAGCTTTCATCATTTTGTCATCATCCAGATCTGTGAACAACAAGCCCTTCTCACATCCTGGGTTGGTCTTTTGTCTCTGTCTCCGCCTGTCACCTCCTGTAACTGGCTCATTTTTCTTACTCGGTTCCACCATGACAATGTGTTCAGAAAGCGGCTTGGACTTAACATACGTTGACCTCCCTTTACCAGCTCCGTACATTTTGTAGAAATAGGTTTTTTTACTCTTGGCCTTATTGTTCCCAGAGTTCATCTCCTTTAGTTTCTTCATAGGCATCCACGGCACCTGCATCAGACTCTGTACATCGTCAGCATCCTCATCCTCATCACTGTCGCTAGCAAATCTGACGGGCGTGGAGGCATGTACTTCATCCTCACCGTCATTTGTAACCTTGAGGATCGTCTTGGTCACATCACCCTTGGCATCATCAGAGTCATCTGAACAGCTATCTCTTCTTTCCTTAAACACCTCTGGGACGATCACATTAAGCTGACAGTTATCACCAGTGTTCTGGTTTCTGGCCCAAGATTCTTTTGTGGTGTTGGTTACGAATTCGTCAGAGTCATCTGCCTTAACCTTCTTCATGGGCCTCATGCCTTCTGGATGAAGGATCTTGTGACTGAAAAGGATGTAAGGGTTTGGAAAACCCTTCCCACACATAAGGCAATGGTACTGTCCCTGCTTGTACCAGCATCCTTCCAACTCTGGCATCTTATGAAAGGCCTCCATCATCTCGTCTTCACTCATTGTGTTGAAGGTCTTATGGTCGGATTTCGGGCCACTTTTACGCGACGGCATATTGTTGGCTTTCTGGTCTGCTCCATGGGTGTGGTTCTCAAACAGAACCAGATTAGGAAAGTGTCCTCCGCAACCATTGCAGACAATTTTCCCCCTGTCCATGTGAAACGACCGCTTATGTAATTCCACACTTTGCCTCTGTGGTGTCACAGTGATGACTTTGGGTAGCAAAGACATGACGAGTGACTCTGGCTGCACCACCCTCTATTTCAGGCACTGTGGATCTGACAAACAAGAGTGAAAGTCATTTAATTTGCAGTCAGCAAATATTCCAGTGTTATCTAGCAGCCTGTAAATAATCAACATCATCTGGAACAGGCACTCTAACGGTTGAGTGCATGAGCACCAATTCACACTGATGGGGCGTGATGACACACACTGACACGTCAGCCAGGCCACACGTTGAGAACACCTGATACAAATTATGATGGTCGTCTTACATTACACGAGATACTGGCAGAGCTCCAAATAAGGTGTGCATTTGAAAAACATTCGCACAATATAAAACACCATAACCCAAATTATCCTAAATTGCTTTCATATAAATACGCATGAGAAAAATTTAAAAACAACAATTGAAGTTGTCAAAACTTAACTAGAATCATCAAATGGCAGGCACTGAACAAAAGCAGAGCGTATCCCGATAAAATATGTAAACGAAGAACGTTAGTGATATTTAGTCCTAGGCATTAACTGGTTGCTAGGCAGGATGGTAAACATAAATGGTGGCATATTGGCGATTTGATTTGTGATGATGAAATTTAACTGTGATTTGTCATCATGGTCATTCAATGTAAACTTGGTGGCGAATGGAAGAAATCTACTGCGCATGCAGACCCCTTACTGTACTTTTTATAATTTTGAAATTGTGCGTAAATTGTGCATGATTTTTCCAATCACTGCATGTAACTATCATATTCATCATGTTCATGGTGATTATTATTAACACCATCCGAGTCATCCTGGGGCCCATTTGGGAGGAGAATATCCTTGTTTTCTGTTTATTAAACATAATGATTAAATTAATGCCTTGACAAACTTGATCTGCTTACAGGTGAATAAGTTTGGTTTAATGCCGCTTTGAACAGTATTCCAGTTACATCACTGCGAGTGAGTGACCCTTTTGTCGTAGGAAAGCCAAAAGTGATGCAAGGCTAAGACGTTTACCGCTTTGGTGAAATCCACGTTCAAGGGTATGGTCCTGACAAACCTAGAAACATAATCGCGCCAAACTGGGATTCCAACCCACTTTCATAGGTTTCTGCATGCACAAGGGACGCAACTCTGCATAGTGAATTGTGGCGCCTTAGACGACTGGGCCATCCTTGCCCCCAATCCTCTTAAGTGATGGTCAGGAAAATCCCCATAATGTTCCGTTCAATCCATCAAGCTTTACTGAAATGCATACAAAGGGTGCAGTTGTTAGATGAGGCCAGCTGACTTTGCTTCAAAACTGACTGGGCAGTGCATGCAGGTAGGGGCGCAAAGATACGGAAGGCCACGACATCATACATGTCTCGTTACACTGTCACAATACGATAGGCATCTTAATCATGTTAATGCACAAGAATGAACACAAAGGTCATGAACTGAAAAGTTATTTAATTTTAAAGAAATAACATGTAACTTACTTGACAGTCAATTCAGCCGTCACTGGCAATAGCAACTGACAAAGCATTTTCAGTCCCTCTACGACATGTAAACAAGACGGATCACAGATAGCAAAATAGGGCTTATATTTCGATATGTACAAAATATGTATTTTGGTTGTTTTTTTTTGTGGCCTCTATGTATCTTAAATCTTATCTATGTATCTTGCCTCGGAGTTTCCATGTATCATTTCACCATAACATGTACCATGTATCATTTCACCATAACATGTACCATTATCATTTCACCATAACATGTACCATTATCATTTCACTATTACATGTACCATTATCATTTCACTATTACATGTACCATGTCTCATTTCACCATTACATGTAGCATTATCATTTCACTATTACATGTACCATGTATCATTTCACCATTACATGTACCATGTATCATTTCACCATTACATGTAGCATGTGCAAAGTTGGGACTTTTTTATTTCTTAAGTAGTTAACAAATCTATCACAGGAAAGTAAATTGACAAAAAAGATCTTGATCAGGATCCACAAATGATGATGCTGACTAACAAGGCCACACACACATCATCAGTCATGCAATGGGTGACAGCCTCCTCAACAGCAGCACTTTACTTTAAAATACAGCCTACTTCCCCTCTTTGAAAATAGCTTTCAAATCAGAACATCTCTTGACCAAGGTAATTGGTAATCAAGACATTAGCTTTATCGAATGAGCACCTCTTGAAATAATCTATACCATGACATTAGTATATGATCTCTTTTGCCCACAGCCCTTTTCGCTCACTGTATGAAGAGGCGATGTCTGATTTGTGACATACTTTGACTTGCAAGAAGTTGGGAGCCCTGTGCAAAAAAATAAAATTTAAGATAAAATTTGAAAAGGTTGCAATTTTTAACGGCAAAAACACATCATGACAAAAAAACAAGATTTTATTTTAAAAAGCCTTTTGATGCCTTCTTGAAACTACTACTTATAGTTGTTATCATGATTATCATTAACCACAAATTTGCATAATTTTTGGATTATATTCAGGGACATACCAAGATTTCAAAACCTTGGCAGGCTGTTTGAGTAAAAACCACTATTTTACCTAATTAGTCAGTTTAATACAAGTCCCGAAAAGCCATAAGAAATGTCATTACTATTGATCATAACATGAATTGGACATTTCAATGACATTTGCTGCAGACATGGGGCCAAATATCGACCACTGAACAGGTCTAGGTAAATCTCCCGATAGACCAGTGTGGACATGCAAGAGAAGGCGAAATCTACAAAAACAAATATTTGGCAATTTATTAAGTTTGTTGAATATATATCAGAGATAGACATCACTGGTCATATCTAAAAAGTACATAACTCTTGTTTTGAAAAAGTGTATTATGGTTAATAATTTGAGGAGAAAACAACTTGTCACCCTAGAATTTCACATGTCTTGGACCAATGGACTAGTGGCTGTGAATGACTCATAAAGGGTTAAGTCTAAGAACTGCATCACTTCAGGCATTCCTTCTACATGAGCTGACACAGTGTGACATTTGTTTGTTTGTTTCGTAACACCGCTTCCAGCAATGTACCAACTCCAAAAATAGCAGGCTGTATATAACCAAGTCTGGACCAGACAAACCAGTGATTGTTATAATGAACAACATCCGTCAGGGTTCGATGACACACAATCAACCAAGCATGACCGAATGAACCTAGTTTACCTTATGACAAGTATAGGGGACTCCTGGTAAGAATGTAGGTGATCAGAAACCCATTATTTTGTTCGCACATTTCAACCCTGGTCAGGGCAGACTTTTTTCTCATGATAAATCTATTACTTCATCAGAGCCGTCATGCTCTTGTATACAAAATGTTTTGAGACCATAATGAACAATTTCATTGTCATGATCGCCAAAACACAAAAATCATAACATTTCTACATCGTGGTAATCTATACACTGCCTTGTTGCCACTATATAGTTCGTCCTCAAGATGGAGAGCCTTTCCATCACACACAATCTGTGTCATTACTCGCATAAACACGAACGTATTTCATTCAAGAGAAATGCCATTATCTAATTGGTGTGTTTATTTAATAAATTACGACCACTGCAATATCGTGTCTCACCTGATATGGCAGTAACAACAACAAATCCCCACAAAGTCACAAACAGCTTGTTTCCTCCATGTTGTCGCGCTTCCGTATTGGGGATTCCTCTGGGACAAGACGATTCTCAAGGCTGAGGGGTGGTGTTTTGTGGCATTTTATTGAAGCAGTCGATGAATTGAGTAACGTCTGTAAGAGATCAAAATACGCTTTCAATAATTATGTTTTAAGGTATTCCAATTATAAAATAAAGTTATCAGATGTGTTAGACAAGTATGGCAGATGGTAAACGTTATCATCCCCAATACTTATCCCTTCGGTATATAGACTCGCCCATGACTCTTCACAGCTGAGAAGGTCAGTCAGATCTGACGTCACGTATGTGACAAAATGGCGGCAGATTTGGCATTTTTGTGAAGTCTGGACTCAATAATTCACAGGAAAAACGACCAAATCGATGGAGTTTATCATTTTTCGAAATGGCCGAGCCAAAAAGATTGGAGTTTAAGACGATTACACCAACACAAAAGCCGAAGAAGAAATTGTCGTACCCGCCAGCAGATCGTTTCTCGCTGACACTAACTGATTCGACCGAGACGACTTGCCCTGAGTTTTCCTATACCGAATTAGTGAAAAATGCTGTGGTAAGTTCATCTAAACTACACCAAAATGTCGCAAGTTATAGTGTATTCTCTGTCCTTTCAATTGGTATATTGTACTGTATGCATGTACCTTCAATCTTACATGTTTCGTAGGGAATTCCGTCCATCCCCTGTCATGTTGTAAGTCGACATTTTCTATCCCTGTTCATGAATTGGATGATAAAATGTGCTTGAAAATGGCCGAACCTCGGCTAGTAGGAGCGATAATGTTCTCAAGTTGCATAGAAAACAGGCAGATACTATGCTTCGCCATTTTGAACCACCAACCCTCAACTACAACAGTCTGGGAAAATTTTACAACTTAACGCTCTCCCACACTCCCTCCACTGGTCACACTGTCACTTTTATAACAGCATCGGTATATGCTAAATCGTAACTTTTGGACGAGTCAAATTTTGAGACGTCTTTTCATCGAGATGTGCGTATTTTTATTGAAAAATTGTTAAATTGTGAAGCTAAGCATAACCCACAGGGCAGGTTATTTGTCGACTGCCATGTTGGGCCCGAGCTAGGACACGCATGCACATTTCGTCTGCCAAGGCTGGGTTGGCAGGTTGGGAGATTTTCATACATTATGCAGCGCTACTTTTAGGCGGAAACAGGCATAAGATGTTTTTGATCAACTTTATTATTTGTGTTCGGGAAGAATTGGAGATAAGGGAACAGACATGTACATTTTGGTTAACTGACATCACGTGATAATATTTTGTGTTGAAAGTTTAATTTTCTTTCTAAAGTTGTAAACTTCGCTACATTCAGCTGCATGTCATTCGATGTATTGGATTATATTAGCCGTGTCAAGCTCTGGCGTCGTGGTTTAGGGTATATATTATCAGGAGGCTAAAGTGTTTCTGTAATTACATATTTGAGAATGATTGATAAATCTAATTTCTGTTGTCATTATGTAAATAAGATCGATCGTATGGGTTTGCCCACGTGAGGGGAGAGACTAAGTAGGTCAAGATCTATTTTTAGCACAGTTGTCTATGCATTGATACCGACGCTTCCTTGTGTTGAAAACAATGCACTCGCGTGCGTTATTGACGATGGTTGATTTTCACGATCTTTTGTAAGTAAGTTATTGATTTTATTGATTGATTATTGGGTGATTGGGTGAACTTGACAGCGGAAGGTCATACGATGGGCCGTTTTGCGCATGTGGTGTGAGTTGGTGTTAGCGGGCGGGTCTTGAGTTGTGTGTTGGGGGTTTGACTGCGCTGGGGGTGTCTTCGCGTGATAGATATGAGCGCGCACTGCTGCCCCTGGGTAGCGGGTGGGTTAGCATGCGCGTCATTCACGCCGGAGCGCACATGCACGCGCGTTAGGTTACACGTGCGGGAAAGTGGAAAATACAGATTTTACCGGATTTTTGTTTGGAGATGTGTTTGAATTGATATTTGAACGGGAATACATGTACTTGTGTCCTGATTTCCAAGTATTTTTGTTATTTGGAACATATTCTTGTTTTGGAGTGACGCAATCTTAAATAAAGTTGAACTTCACGATAGATTTCAATTGAAACAGTTCAGGTCCTTATTTAGAAATATTTGTTCCACAGTATAAATATGATGTTTTATGTGAAATTTAGAGTGTGAATTTCGTGAATAATTGTTTGGCAAATAATTAATCATAAAACAATCTCGAAATTAATTAATCTATCCTTGTACACACTTGAATTAAACTTTGCCTATTGAAACTAAAGGCCTTCTAATAATGAGCTATAATCTTTTGCAGAAAACAAGGGTAAATATGTTATTTTTCTGACTGAATAATACATTATTTCACATTGAATAAAGATTTCTAGCACACCTGTCAGTGTCCTGTTATTTGTAATTAATTTGTAAGCAGGTGTAGCTATGTTATGCTGTGTTAGCAGGCTTGTAATTTGTGTCTGTTTAGTGTGCTGCCCAAAGTGTCTGACGTTGCATAAGCTCGCAAGAGTGATTTACATGTCTACAAGTCGATTCACTCCAGTAGAGTTTGTGTAGGTAGCGTAAGGTGTGTGAGTCCCTGACATTATGGACACGTGTGCCACTTTTCTACGTTCTTACAGGGGTAATGAGAGTTGGAAAAAATGAGTGAATTATGACGATTCTATAAATGTTATCTCTATGCTGGCTGGAAAATGTTAATTTCTACACCATTTTCTCTGATAATCCTTTAGTCTGGTCACTTTAGGGGAGGCAACTCTATTGCTGTCTTAGTTTTGGATATTATTGCTGAACAGCTTGTATAAGGTCACAAGAAAGTAGACATTTAGACCAAATTTATTTTCATCAGCACATATGTGTTATGGTTTATAATTATATCGCAGCAATGAAATTGCATCACAATGCTTTGCAGACCATTGTGACGTTATTGGTTACCATGACATCACAATCAAATAACATCACTGATGGCTCTGCTACTGAAGCTGTTAGCAGTACTTTTTACACTAAGACACTGCTTATTATTGTCTTCAAACTGAAAATGTTGATAGAATGATGTTGGATGATAAATAGAATCTCACCCATGTGTCTTTTGATATCAAATATATCAAAACTCTTTGATAAAAACTCCATGGCAAGATATTGCTTGGTTGAGATTGAAATCCAGTGAGATATCATAACAGTAAATTGCAGCACAATGCATTTCAGACCCTTGTGATGTAAACAATTATCATGATGTCACAATCGAATGACATCACTTATCTCTGCCACTGAAGCTGTTTAGCTCAACTTTTTTCACTGGACTTTAGTTCTTACTGTTCACAAACTGAAAAAGATGGAAGAATGATAAATCAGATCTCACCCTCACATCTTTTGATATCAAACATATCAACACTCGTTGATAAGAGTTTATAAATTCTTATTAATCTTGGGAGTTTTAAACTTGTAACAATATATTTGATATCAAAGACACTGGTGAGATTATATATATATATTTCATGATCTGTGCTGAACATTTTTGAGGCAACTAGCCCCAACCTGGACCTTGGCACCATTTTCAGTATAATTAAATGTTATATCTTTACTGTTATTAACTGAGATTATTAGTCTGAACAGAATTTTACTGGATTCAAACTTCGAACTAGTGTTTACATTTGCAGGCTGTTTTTATTGTCTTTACCCTTCACTAATGATCCGATACTGTTTTGCTGTCTGTCTACTGGTAAAAGCGTTAGTCTACAAGCTAGTCCTTCCTGAAGTTTAGTCCCAGACTAGCAGACTTGTGATAATTTCGAACCCTGAAATTAAACATAAGCAGCAAACAAACAAAAAACTAAACATTAGTCAAGCTATATCGCAGATATTTGTCAGAAGATTGACTCCTGTCAGGTCTTTAATTTACAACATTGTTTTAATATATATGGTTAGGGTAGACATGGTGGAGCTTTGGTCACTATATGAAGTACTTCCAATATTAGACGGTGCCAAATATGTTTTGGAGTTGACTTGCCAGAACTTGTCATCCTTTTTCTGACAATTATGGCATCAATATAATATGGACATGCATTATTATTTAAGAGCTGACTAGACAAGACAATTTTACTCAACTTTGGATTTGTGACCAACTCGGCATGCTCAGCAGATTTCTGTGATGATTGTTGTTCAGCACACAAACACTATAGTGTAACACAAACAATTGAAAAATTGAAAACAATTAGAGCATACTGCCCTAAAACTACTCATGTCCCTGAAAACAGACCTAGGTACATGAGTATTTATGGAATCGGATACCATGATAACACAGAGCTCATGATATTCTTAGCGTTTTACAGTAATTATGGAGGATAGTGTTATGAATGTTGAATCACATCTATGTTCATGTTCATGACTATATTTTGCTCACCATTCATACTAAATCACAGGAAGAAGGGTGTTTGAAGTCCTCTTTTAGATGGTCAAAAGATGTCAAATTTACAGCTGCAAAAATAAACCTTTATTACTCCATCCTTACATTCTTTACATTCAGTAACTAATTTCACCCAGTGACCAAAGTTTGTTGGTCGATTGGTTTGTTGTTTAACGCCGCAATCAGCAATATTCCAGCTATATGATGGCGGTCTGTAAATAATCGAGTCTGGACCAGACAATCCAGTGATTGGGATCAATGACATGCATCAACCAAGTCAGCGAGCCTGACCACCCGATCCCGTTAGTCGCCTTTTACGGCAAGCATGGGTTGCTGAAGACCTATTCTACCCCGGAATCTTCACGGGTCCAGTGACCAAAGAGGCCGAACATGAGGCACCAGAAACAGAAAGGGATCTCCATGATGTTGAGCAAATAGACATTACATCTATGTTGCCTGTTCCAGAGTAATCACCTTATCAGTTTAATAACTGTAGTATCACCAACACTACTTTTCAAAGAAGAGATGTTAACTCTCAATAAAGCTTTACGTACTGATGATCAGTAAATTTACATTTTCCTTGTGAAAACAGTATGGTGACAAAATTGCCTTAAGGTATCGTAATTTACTGTGCTGAGTTGCATTGAAACCCTATGATTGTTGCTTCAAGTTTCAAATCTCAACTAAAAACTGTTCAAAGCAACGTTAATCCTCACTCACTCCTCGGGGAAAATACCGCGAGCCCAGGGCTTGTAAATAATCCTGGGGGCTAGTACAAATTTCCTAATTTCCCCATTGTTTTAACAGTAGAAGTACATTTTATCTTTACCCTGGCTAGTGAAGCTTTTCAGTTTACTTCTAACCCTGCTCCTCATGGTCTATTTATAACATCAAACTTGAATAATAGACTTTTCAAAACACTGGTCAAAGGCAGTGTGACACCCTAGTATTTCCTTTGCTGCTGAACCAAGGACAAATATGCTTTTCACCAGATAGATTGTACTAAATAGGACTCAATACAGTCAAGTCTCGTTAATCCGACATCGTTGGTTGCACATGATTGTGTCGGATTAACGAGTATGTCGGATTAACGAAATTAAGTAATTTGTGATCGAAAATCGGACATCTTCACGATAGATAATAACCGTGTGTTTCCTCGTGTAAATGCAAGTGCTACTGTCTTAACAACTTGCTTCATCTACTTAAAATAGTCTGTCAGTGTTTTCTGTTTCTCACATTTTGAAGGCACATTTCTCAAAGTCCCCTGTTCGCTTGACGTCTAGGGCTGGTGGTTCTTCAGCATCAACATTGTCGAGGTGTAATTTCATTTGTTTCTTATAATAAAGCTTGAAATTCTTTATGATCCCGGCATCTAGTGTTAATTGTTAAAGTTAATCTCTGCAGCCAGTGCGTGTCAAAACACGGGGTTGTGTACTCGCGGGCAGATGACCACGGAGTACGCTGACCACTGTGTCTGATTAATGAGTGATTTCGGTAATTCGTTGCAAATTAGGTGTGTCGGAGTCGGAGTGCGAGAATGTCGGATTAACGGGACTAAATAGCGCTGAATCAATCGGTTCCCATCATTTGTGTCGGATAAAGCCGAGTGTCGGATTAACAAGTGTCGGATTAACGAGACTTGACTGTACATCATTTCTTTGTCATCAGTGTAATGGTTGTGGGATATAGAAAATGAAAAAGAACCCTACAGAGAAACATAATTGCACGTAGCCTGTTGTTCAGATGACATAATGTTATCAATATTTTATGTCATAAACAATGGATCAGTAGTACGTGCAAATATTCAAGAGATATTACAATGAAAAAAAAAACCCTACAGAGAAACATAATTGCACGTAGCCTGTTGTTCAGATGACATAATGTTATCAATATTTTATGTCATAAACAATGGATCAGTAGTACGTGCAAATATTCAAGAGATATTACATTCGGTATGTCTACCCTAACTGATAATATAGCCAATATTGACGTAAGGTGGAAGTGTTACATGTATCATGTAAAATATCGTGAAACGAGCCCTCGCACCTTTGCCAGAATTGTGGGTAGGTTTTGCCTCTTTAGAAATTCTACTGACTGGAATTCAAGGTAATTGAAATGTGAATTTGGGTTTGGGGAATAAGCTGACATTATTCACATCTTGTTTTCGGCTTTTCGCTCACCTGATTGCAATTTAAGTGACCTCATGTTGTGGCATGTTTTCCATTGTCTGGTTGTGTGTCTGTTGTTAATTTCATATTTTCAACTACAAGGCCTATGAATCTGAAACTTTGGATGTTTGATCCCAGCTATTGTGTCTCAGCTATGTCTGCATTATTATCATATTATTATCATATTTTCTTGTGTGTTATTTACACTTAGGTACAATACACACCCCACATTCTTGGGTGCAAGTTTCAGGGAAAATTGCCATGTTGTATATAATACGCAGTCGAACACTGCATCGTATCGCTTCAGATGAATAAACAGGGGATAAATTTGGTCAGTAAAAATGTAAACTTTGTGATAAAACATAATGACTTGAAATTTCAACCGATTTCCTGTTATGCTTGGAATTTGTTCAAGTGGAGATGTTAAGATTATCATATGATGAGAGCCTGAAATAACAATGAGCTGTAAACACATTTTCTCCTGTGATACCAGGGATTCAGTTCAGATATACATGTACCTTATATAATCATAAAAAGAATTTGAATAGAGTGATCAGTAGAAATAATATCTGAAACTTTTATTGTATAAGGAATACCGTATTCGACGTAATAAGCGCCCCTCTCTAATAAGTGCCCACGGTGACATTTGCTGATACATTGGCTGGTGAACAATCCCAATTAGCACCCCTTCCGAGTGATCAGTGTACACAAGACTAATTTATTCGCATATAATACGCACTCGTGTGCTATATGCACCCTTAATTATGGGCAATAAAATTCTGGAAAAATATATCTGTTGTACATAAACATTTCAGGCTGTCAGCATAACCATGAAATTTATCTTTCAACTCATTTTTTTCACCAAAATAATATTCTAATAAGAGCCCCCTATTTCTAATTTTGAGAGTGCCCTGGGCGCTTATTACATCGAATATGGTAGTTCCTTTTGTTATATATACTCTGCAAGAAAAGAAAGGCAAAACTGATCTTAGATGTATATTACTGTTATAAAAAGAATAAACAGATGGTAATCGATTGTTGGAAACTGGCACACGTTGTTATTGTCCTAGGTTCCGTATGGCACACATGGAACAGTAGATTTTCAAGGTGAAGGTCACCTATTCTCAACATCTTGTATGGCCACCATTAGAGTCCAAACTGCCTGGCATCACCGTCCCATGGAAGCAATCAGATCCCAAATTGTTGCGAATGTCCACCCACTCTGCCTGCGGTGCTTGTGTCAACTATTGGAGGTTCTGTGGTTGTTGCTGACATGCTCGGAGTCATGATCAAGTGCTTCTGATAAATGTTTGATTGGATTTAAATCTGGAGGCCTGGAGGGCCATGGCAGGACCTGGATGTTGTGAAAAGGCTGTTGTCAGTCTTATCGTGTGAAGTTGTATTTTGGGACATGACGGGGGGAAAAGGAGATATTTCACTGGACACATGAAATATCCTCTATTTTTGAAATGTATGTACATCCATTCTCTGACAGCTAAATTTTGTTTCAAGTAATCAATCTAGTGGTAATCTTGTCATGGCTGCAGTTAATGATTGAGTTGGTGCGATCAGTTGACACATGAGTTCGACAAGGTACACAACACCACACCTGAAGACCTATTCTCTACCCGGATCTTCATGGGTCAAATGTTGTAAAGTTTGCAGGTTTGAGACAGATGAAATTCTGGGACGAGTAGTGACATTTCCTTGTGGACTATTATTGTAACACTAGATAAATGTCTGTGTTTGAGATCATTTTGGGACTAGTGAAAATATATGTTATTTTCTTATCCCGAATCTGTGCTTGTGGTCAAAGCATATCACCTGACTGATGGTGTATTGTACAGGCTTTTCAGACTGGTCACCGTTAGAAATTTACACTAGTCCTATAGTCCTTGCCAAACTGCCCAATAGTTAAGGTATCATAAGGACTAGTAAGTAGAAATTTGCCCTTTTTAAGGGTTTGGCTATATGATATCATTATAAGGACTAGTGGACTAAGAATGTTAGCTTCTACCGCTGCTGGTTCATTTTCAAGGACTGTGGCTGACAGTCATCCAAAGTGTCCTTATAATTTAAAAAAAATAATTATATTGATGGAGTAAAATGTCCTTTCAAACTTTGCTACCTTGAGAGCATGGATTGTTGTTCATGCTATGTATTACTGGTTTGCCTGGTCCAGACTGTTTTCAGGCTGTCCTGATCAGATAATATGGCTGGAATCTCGGTGACTGGGTCATGACGTGAAGCATCATAATAAACTCATGCATGCTCTTGGTACATTAATTATTCCACACTCAACATGATCGCAAACTTTTTAAAATTCTCTTATGACATGATCATGTTTGTTAAAATTTGTGACTTTTTTAAAATGTTGATTTCCATGGAAACAAGAAAATTGAGCTGAACTGATGCTGACAGTGGGATAAATATTGAATACAAATATAATATTGCGAATTTGTGTAAGTCGATAAACATAATCTTGCGCGAGTACAATGCATAATTGCATCAGCAGGCAGTGAGCCTCAAAGTCACTCTCTTGCCCAAACAATACTATCTACCAATGCTGTGTCAGAAATTGGCTCTAGTCCTATAGTACTTGCCAAACTGCCCAATAGTTACGGTATCACCAGGACTATTGCCATTTCCAGGGTTTTGCTATATGTTATCATTATAAGGACTGGTGTACTAAAACTGTTAGTTTCTATCGCTGCAATGATTTGTTAATCCTGAAATTCCTTAATCTGGCATTTGGCATTGAAACAAGGACTAGTCAGCTTGGAGTATAATGTTTCTGAGTGAGGTATCCATATTAAACTTTGGCATGTCATCTCAGTGGGCAAGGACCTCAACAGTAATGTCTGTCTCCCTCTCCCTCCCTCTTGCATGCATCCATGCACACATGCTTGGGAGCTCTCGGCTCCCTAGGACTTCCTTAATCTCAAACACTGCACATGTAATACTTCAAGATTTCACTTCAAATAATTTTCACCCAAACCTTAAATGTACATGGGGAGCCGTGTAAGACTGAAGTATCATTTATGACCAATCATTTTGGAACACTAGGATGTCTTTAATTATGAATGACACTTTCATGGCTTTGTTTTGAATTCAGCGTGAGAAAGAGCGTGGTGGTGGAGACCCTGACAACCCATTCGGTGACGATGAGGATGCTGACAAGATGGAGGCCATTGCCAAGGCATTTGAAGAGAAATATGTAGGTTAAGTGTGAAGTTAATACTGTTTGTATTGATCTTCACACACTGAAATAGACAGTGAAATTGTGGATGCAATTAAAACAGAATTTTTCATATCACAAGTACAGTTTGTCTGGTCTCATAACAAGTCAAGGCCTTTCCTCATAGCTGTTAGTTTCAGAGATTTCTTTTATGATGTTTTCTAGACACAGCATTGCAGGTGGAAGCTGGTGAAACACCTACCATCCAGATTTATTAATAAATAATAGTATATGTATATTTTGTCACTGTTACTATTCATGTTGAAATATAAGTGGAATCAATGTTTTTTCACTAATTCCTCCTTGTTTAAAATATTCAGTATATTTCTTGAACATATATGAACTAATTTGCTGTAACTTTTGTCAGACATTGCACACATACGGTGGCCCATACCCACCATTGGTGAGATCATTTTCCCCAGTAAACCTCTATATTTTATCTCACCGCCAGATAAAATATAGAGGCATACTGTGAAAAATGATCTCACCAGTGGCGGGTATGGGCCACCGTACACACATGCCTTGCATCAAGCATTGTCAGTGGCTTATTGACTCTGATTGTGTGATTGTCTTGGCAGATTAAATGCTTGTCACAATGAGTGGCTGACAGATTAGATTTTGAGATGAAATTTTGGACAACTAATAAGACTAAAATTTCGATTTTCAACTTCTAACTTCAATTCACTTCTCCCAACTTTTGCGGCCATATAATGTTACATTATCTGGGGATTTTGACAATGAATACATGCAAGTGTTTCTTGTAGTTTTCACTCATGAAAATTTAGATTTCTAATTTGAGAAAGATATGTTGGTAAATGAAATCAAGTAATATCAGGAATGTTATAATTTTTTAAGACGATACTGTATTGATAGAAATTTATGCATATCAATACTCACTTAATAAATCACTGCCACAGAAATGTTTACTTTTATTAAGATTACTATAGTTAAGTACAGAGAAAATTCAACTAAAAGAAATTCATGGATCAGCCTAGTTCTTATTTAGCATGAAGTTGATTAATTGTAGGTCTACATAGGTAATTTTTACTAATTTATGTGAATACATCTACAGAATAATTATTTTATTAGTAATCGATATATCGTGATACTTGTAGTCAATATATCAAAACTAACATTTCCAATTAATGACACCTCCTAGTAATACTTCCTGTTGTCTGACGCTATTGCTGTCCCAAGTCTCCAGTTTGTCCAGATGATTGACAGGCCACTGCATGCAATATAGCTGGAATATTGCTGACTGAAGCATGTTACAACATTTGATAGACAGTTTATATAGTGGAATACTTCTCTTTATCCAGCATCAAATGTCATTCAGCAGATTTAACTGGTAATTGGTTTTTTCAGGGTCCGAAAGTGAAAACCAAGAAAGGTCGTCCAAGCGATCGGCTGCGTGACTTGGTTGACCTTGGTGACGGCTATGATGAGACAGATGCTTTTATTGACAACTCTGAAGCTGTAAGTATTACCATCTGATTAATCCTGTAAAAAAGTATAGAAAAGGGTGGGAATGATATGTGATGCTAAACTCACTGACAAGCATTCCAATTGTTTATACCCACATGGAAGGCGGAGTCATGGTTTTGGATTGTGGGGTCTTAGGACTTGCAACTCACTGTGGAGAAACCTTTGATAGTGGGTTTGAATCCCATATTTCCCTTACATTGTGTTTCTCATTTCTGTTGGGGGTACGGATGGCCCTGTCGTCTAAGGTGCCACAATTCTCTGCACAGAGTTGTGTCCCTTGGGCATGACAGATACCAATGATTGTGGGTTCAAATCCCTGTTCGCCCAATTTATATTTCTACTTTTGTCAGCACCATATCTGGGCCTGTGGGTTTCAACAAAGTGGTAAGCATCTTAGACATGAATCACTGTGGCCTTTCCTCCCAAATCAAACTGGAAAACTGATATTGCTGAAATATTGTTTAAAAAGTTGTTAAACCAAACTCACCATGCTCACTCAGTCAAACCCCACAGTTACTTGTTTATTCAGGCAGAAGAATCACATGTTGCCTCATTAATTGGACTGCCCTCACTTGTAATCTTACATTCGAGCATCTGGAACATTGTCTGTTGGGAAGAGTTGTTCAGCAAGCTTACTCAACACAGGGATACCTTGGATTCCAAACCCAAAACATTGTTTTGTTAAATATTGGGAAATTTTTAAGTTTTTATTTTCTGAAGTTCAGAAGTGTCTTTACACCGTATTCATAGAATTGCATTCTCTGCAGTAATCTAAAACTAAGCATGCCCGCTTAGTTCTTATTTTGACCAGGGAGCCAAGTGCCTCATAACATTAATATATTTGGAGCCAAATGTAAGTCCTAGGAGCCAATTGTAAGTCTTAGGAGCCAATTGTAAGTCTGAGGAGCCAACCTTTCTTTCAAGGAGCCAGACTGACTCAGTGACAGTTTGAGATAGGACATACACAGGTTTTTAGGGGCTTCATTATGTGAACTTTAAAGATGGGCATTTGATTGTGCATTTAATAATAATGTAAGTATTTACTTTTTTGTAAAGTATCATTTATTAATAGGGTAACCGAATGCATGGAGCCATCAAAATGTTCATTGACAGATGATAAGTGTGATCATACGACTTCCATTGCAATCAGGGAACTGGTAATCGAGAAAAGGGCGGAGCAAATATCAGTCAATTTAATTTATACATGTAGTGACAAAGCTCGAAGGTTGCAAGCATTTTATAGGGTCAATCACATTATCGGAACAAGAAGATTTTTTAGTAAGGCTTATGTTCGTGAAAATGAAATTTTCAACAGGGTACAAATACCCCAGAAGATGTACACGTGCATTATTATGTGAGGCGACATTATTCTGTTAAATCGGAATATGGCCCAGATCACACAACCAGGATATCTTGAGTCAAGGTTTTCTTATATGAACTAACTTTTAACATTTAACATTTTGTATCAGAAATAATTATTGTCACCAGTAATGTATATATTTAGGTAGCCAAGCGGCGAACAGTAGATAAATTTAGGTCGCCAATCATAGAATTAAATCCCATTGGTGACCAAAAAGGTGGCTACTTAAAGGGCTGTAGGCATTATGGCCTCGTCATGTTTGTTGGTCATGTTATCAGTGAATTTTTCTCTACACTGCCCACAAGGCAATAAGATTTAAGTTAGTACTGTCCTATCCAAAATTAGTACTGTCTAAACATGAATTTGTTCTGTATTAACATGAATTAGTGCTGTATTTACATGAATTAATACTGTATTAACATGAAATAGTACTGTATTAACGTGAATTAGTGCTGTATTAACATGAATTAGTTACCCGTGAAGATCTGGGATAGAACAGGGCCTAGATTTTCGAAACGATCGTAGCCCTAAAATTATCGTAAATTTGTCGTAAGGAAATCGTAGGCTATCGTAGCATATTTTCGAAAAACTATCATAGCCCTAAGATATCTTAAGATTGTCGTAAATCTAAGATAGCCCCATACCTGTCGTAAGTTTATTTTATCTTCATCCAAGATTGCTGCATACTTTTCCATAGATATTTTGACAAACCATTAGCATGATTAGTTCTGTAGTTTGCTTTACGTTCAAACATTGACATTTCATTTTGTAAAACTGAGTGATTCAAGTTGACATTTTGAAAATACAAAGAACGCATTAAGGATTTCACGCCAAAAATGTTCTTAATCGCGACAGCGATCCACATAACTGTGGCGTCGATAGCTTACAATATATTTCTATCCGAGTCCATGCTGAAGAAGTGTGAAACAACATACCTTTTCGATAATTTGGGAAGGATAAAAACGGAAGGTGTAAAACCATACTCACTCACTCACTCACTCTTGCAAAAGTAATTGTATTTATTTGTTTCGTTTTAATTTCAATACCTAAGTTATCTATGTCCTCTTGAAAGACAAATATTTGATACAAAGTGATTTACAAACTGTCTGTTGAACAATTGCATTCTTTACAAACAGGTGATTAACGGCATGTATTCCATTAAATATAACAATTTACTGAAATTTTGACAGCAAAAGTTAATCATAGATTTTCGTATCGACAAATTAAATAAAAAATTCGTTCCCATGCTCGTTTGGGTTATCGTCAAAATGTAGCATAGATTGCACATTGTCCAAAATTCACTTTCCAATATATGTTCGCAGAAAAAAAGTTTACTGAATGAAATTTACTGATCAATATAAAATACACATTTTCAACACAATAATCTTTGCATTCAATAAACCGGTTTTAAAATATTTTGGTCTTTTGAATATTCAAGTCTACATCTTCCCGTTTTAAGGTTTAAAAAAAATATAGATATACTTGAGACAATAAAATCGTTGTAACGTATAGGTTCAACAGACAAATATTAGTAATTGATCCTCAGCAATTCTGTTCGACAAGCCAAACATTGAACTACTTTCTGGAACAGATTTGACACATACAAGGTATTTCGCTCCTCAGCCAGATTTAATTGAAATCAGACAAATCAGTTTATTAGCTCTACTTAATCTAAAATGATAGAAAATGACTACATAATATGTATGTTCACGTTAACTTGTGGCATGTTCCATGAGACAACATGACTTGACAATTCCTAAATTATCTCCCTTTGCGACTGAAAATTAGTGTCACCTTTAAATTTTGAAAAGAATTATGGATCGAGATAGATAAAAAAAATAATTTCATCATCTAAATACTAATAGCTTGATATTGTATTTAAGTCCTTGGATAATTCGTGAAATATATTGCCTACATAAATAACAAAACAAACTTAACAAGCTTAGATTGTCTTAAAAACTTGCTTGTGGGTGCGCTGCTTCTTGAACATTTTTTGTTTTGAGTGTTTCCACGTATAATGTTGGTGTTTACACTAATATAAACTTGACTTTTGACATAAACACAAAAATATACAGTATACATCACTTAACATCAGACTTGAACACGCATGTTAAATGCTGAACGCATATGCTGTTCGATCAAAGGTCTCGTCATTGTCATTTAGAATAACGTCCCTTACTTTCGTCCTTGACTTTGTTCGCGATGTGTTTATATCGTAAAGTTCTGCACGCTCACGAGAGGACCATTTGAAGTGAAAATAGTGAAGTATCTTTGGGCACATTATTTCAATTCTAATAGCTAAAGTGTGGTAACACTACACTTATTGATTATAGCATTTATTGGTTTTGAAAAATGCTATTGCATGGCACACGAATGCTTTTTGTGTTCGGGTAGTCATGGCATCTTTTATCATAAGAACAAAACGTCCACATGTATGACATATGTAGGATTGTACAGAATTTCACACAAATATGTGCATGTTAAACAATGTGACCTGACAATGTAATCATGAATTCCGTGTCACTTACATGTATCTATGTTGTTGTTATTGTCAGCAGCTGGGAAATCCCCGTGACGTCACTGGGAAACACCCCGCTTTTTCCATCTCTAACACAAATGAGTTCTCTGTCAGAGTTATGATAGGTATCGTAACTCTGAATGATCTGCGACAGGTTTACGGTAGTTTCGAAAATCTATCTTATCTTAACCTTAAAATAACTTATCTTTGAACGTAAGTTGTTAAGATTTATCTTAGCTAAGAGCGTTTCGAAAATCTAGGCCCAGGTCTTCAGCAACCCATTCTTGCCGTAAAAGGCGACTATGCTTGTCGTAACAGGCGACTAACGGGTTTGGGTGGTCAGGCTCGCTGACTTGGTTCATGCATGTCATCCATCCCAATTGCGTGGATCGATGCTCATGAAATCAATCACTGGATTGTCTGGTAAAGACTCGATTATTTATAGACCGCCGTCATGTAGCTGGAATATTGCTGAGTGCGGCGTTAAACAACAAACCAACCAACCAACATGAATTAGCACTGTATTAATGTGAATTAGTACTGTATCAACATGAATTAGTACTGTATTAACATGAATTAGTACTCTGTTATCATCAATAAGTATTGTATTAACTTGAATTACTGTATTAACATGAGTTAATACTGTATTAACATGAGTTAATACTGAATTAACATGAATTAATACTGTATTAACATGAATTAATACTGTATCATAATGAATTAGTACTGTATTAACATGAATTACAACTGTATTAACCTGAATTTTTACTATGTTAAATGTGAATTAGAACTGTATTAACATGAATTAGAACTGAATTAACATGAATTAGTACTGTATAAACAAAAATTACTGTATTAACATAAATGAGTACTGTATTAACGTGAATTAGAACTGTATAAACATGAATTAGTACTGTATTAACATGAATTAGAACTGTATTAACATGAATTAGAACTGTATTAACATGAATTAGTACTGTATTAACATGAATTTGGAATGCTTTGGGGGGGGGCATGTAGATTTGGTGTAGACTCGGGCCTGAATATGAGCCCCTGGGCAGCTGGACCAAGATAAGTCCATGACATGGTGATGACCGGGTTTCAGTGTTTTAAACTTTAAGTCTAACTAAACAATTGAACACCAATACAAATGGCAACATTGTTGCTGTAATTTTTTTTAATAATATATTGTCTGGCAGTCCTCGTCATCAAAAATAAATGTGTAAACTGTTTTTGTTGGCAGACAGGTACTTGTGGATGAAACATTTAGGGAGACAGTTGTCATGGTTATATGCAGCTCAGCCTGCAGATAAAATCTATTTTCAGATGATTTTGACTTGATTGCATAAAATCAATGTGTTAACATCATGCTTTGAGGATTAAGTTACATAATTAATTTTGTTCTGCACAGTGGGCCTCCTACATGTCCAAGTCATTAAGTCCTTGGATGTTTGAGGATAAATGGCCACCGTGTTATCTATTTGTCCAAACAGGTGATGCCAATTAGTATAAGGTGCCCAGAAATGGGTTCTCAGCTACAAAGGCCATTTATGTTGTCGTTAGTTTCACGGATTTATCCAGGTTACAAACTTGGCTGGCAATTGTGGAAAAGCATCATTAGTTTGCTCCAATTGGTCAGTGATATACAAGTCTCCCATACAAATCATACCATTACTTATTGCTATATCACATCAAATATGTGATCTGGGAATATATACAGTAGAACATGGATATAACGAACTGCAAGGGACCAGAGTATATGTTATATATATACGTTGTTCGTTATATACGCTTTTGCTTGGAAAAGTCCGCCATCTTGGCTAAAACAAAACACAATACACATACCCGTTTATACACGTTTCCTCCTGCATCTACCGGTGTTTCAGTTAAAAAGTACCAAATGATACAACTTCAAAAAAATTAATGCAATGTTCGGAAGAAATTGTATCTAAAATTATTATTTTTTCAGAATAGTATATTCCAATATCACCAAAATTAATGTAAACATTATTGAATGAAATTTGTTTGTTTTACAGACTAGATTAGTCCAATTACATGGACAGGTAAGATTAACATAATGCAAGTTTAACAAGGTTGAATCGTCACCAGTGATTGCTTTGTTTGCCGCTATTGTGTTGATTTGTGTCTGATTGCGTACAGCCAATTGTCAGTGACACTTGACACTGAGTGAGATTTCTCAGTTCGCTATACACATGACTAATTAGTGGTAGATGGGCTTGTCAGTGATCAGATATCAGTTCGCTATATCCGTTAGTTCGCTGTAGAGAGTTTGTTATGAACGAAAATTTGATATGATAATATATAGGAGATAAATCAGGGATTTTTAACAGTTCGTTGTATCCGTTTATTCGCTCTATAAGAACGAAACAATTCGTTATATCCATTTTCTAAAGTACTGTCATTTGCTGTAGACTGCAGAATATTGGCCTCTGAGGAGGTCCAAATAAACCCCTGTAGTTTCAAGTTTGCATAATCTTAGAGGTCGCCTCTGTAGACTAGTGGAGGGAGTGTCTGCCTAGAAAAGGGAAGATTGGGGATTTCATCTCCGGCTGCGTCATACAAAAGAAGTTAAAATATGGTGCTTGTTGTTTCCCTGCCTGGCGCTGGGCTTTAACAGGATAAAACAAGGACAACTCAGTACATTGTGGATGAGTTAGGTATCCATGTTAAACTGCGGCATAGTATCTCATTGGACTAGCACTATAAAAATTTCAGCTTCCAAATTAACCTAATATTTATGAATGAAAAACAAACAGGTTTTGGAGGTAATAAAGATGAGTGTTCGTTGATGGTTTGACAGTAACTTTATCATATAATCACAACAAATTGCAGTAAGACAACCAAGAGTTGAGAGGAGAAACATCCAACAGTGTCGATCTAGACTTCCATTGCTAACTCTACAGTAGTTAACATGGTTAAAGGAAGCATCTGTGTGTGAATGGTGGTAGTTTTGTCCTCCGAACAACTGTAAATTACATGGCTTCAGCGTTCCTTGGACAAATCCCCAATCATGAAACAGTCAGATGTAAAAGAATATTCATTGTAATTATCCCCGCCGCGCGAAAGCGCGAAGCGGGGGATATAGTATTCACGACCGTCCGTCCGTCCGTCCGTCCGTACGTCCCACCTGTTTGTTGCCGCGATATCTCAAGAACTAAACACTGGATTGTCTTCATATTTGGAACTATGGTGTATATACAGACTCTGCAGACACCAGTCGGTTTTGGTGACCTTGACCCCATTTTCAAGGTCACAGCAGGCAAATCTGCTTTTGGAGTTGGAAAACGGTGTTGCCACGATATCTCAAGAACTAATCGCTGGATTGTCTTCATATTTGGAACTATAGTGTATATACAGACACCGCATACACCTGTCAGATTTGGTGACCTTGACCCCATTTTCAAGGTCACAGCAGGCAAATCTGTTTTTGGAGTTGGAAAACGGTGTTGCCACAATATCTCAAGAACTAATCGCTGGATTGTCTTCATATTTGGTACTATGGTGTATATGGCGGGGGATATTTCGTCACTCTGTGACAAATACTTGTTTTTTTCTAATTCGGTTTTTTTTTTTTTTTTTTTTTAGTTCTGTCAGTTTGACAAACTAATATGAAATAAAAGGCCAAGACTACATGATGAAAATATTGTAGGATCAAAACAGGATTTGCCAAATGCATTGATCCGCTTTGAAAAATCTGAACATTTTTTTCAGAACCAGTAATCATGCTAATTTAAGAATCTCTGTCGTTTTTGGAAAATATGAGATAGTTCTTTTTCCAGATACTTAATGTGCTAGCTAATCTTAAGCATGACATTCATGAAGAGGTATAAGACTCTTGACATGATATGTATATCCATTAGGTATTACACATGTATCTTTGCATAATGGCTCAGCTGTGACTTTGACCTTCTGATGCTTTTGATTCTTGTAATACGAAATGTGACTTTCAATTTGAAACTACTAAGTTTTTCAGGGTGCAAAACTAGCTTATATATCAGAAATTTGCAAATGTCATTTTGACCAACATTATTTATATGTGAACATCGTTAAGAAATATATATGTTGCAATTTGTCTTTTTGTCAAGTATTTTTACATTTTTATCACATATATGATTTTAATGTATGATAATGTATGGAATTTGATTCACCATGCTGCAAGTTGGGTGAGCCACGAAGCCTGTAGTGTTTCCTTTTCTGTGATGTAAGAATTGTTTTGAGAACCAAATGAATGTTGAATTGTTTATAATAGCCTCGTTTCATTGATCATTGTTAAAGAGGGCCTGTTTCCAAATGGGGTGTGCATTATCACTGGTATATCAGTATTGAAATACGTCCGTCAGCAGTACACGTATCACAATACAACCCTTGTGTATCAATACTTTCTGATAGTGATACAATCACAAAAGAACTAATATATAATTTTACGTCAACATTCCATATTGATGACATAATAGGTAGCCTCGTTCATCCAGACTACCCATCTCGCAATCTGAAGTCTCTCTCTCTCTCTCTCTCTCTCTCACTCTCCCTCTCTCTCTCTCTCTCTCTCTCTCTCCCTCTCTCTCTCTCTCTCTCTCTCTCTCTCTCTTTCACAACCTATTAATCATGTAACCCTCTCTCTCTCTCTCTCTCTCTCTCTTTCACAACCTATTAATCATGTAACCCTCTCTCTCTCTCTCTCTCTCTCTCTCTCTCTCCCTCTCTCTCTCACAACCTATTAATCATGTAACCCTCTCTCTCTCTCTCTCTCTCTCTCACAACCTATTAATCATGTAACCCTCTCTCTCTCTCTCTCTCTCTCTCTCTCTCTCCCTCTCTCTCTCACAACCTATTAATCATGTAACCCTCTCTCTCTCTCCCTCTCTCTCTCACAACCTATTAATCATGTAACCCTCTCTCTCTCTCTCTCTCTCTCTCTCTCTCTCTCTCTCTCTCTCTCTCACAACCTATTAATCATGTAACCATGCTTACCCTGTACGAAATTGCTGAGTTTAATATTGAGTTGTTTCAGTGCACCGTTACACCCTCACCACATGATAACCGATGAAATGAACTTCTATCCGGCCCTTCAATCATTTATGATAGTTTGAAATATATTGATCAAGAATGGAAACATAACGCTTATTTCTTTGTTGTAACAGTATGATGAGATTGTTCCTCGGTGTTTGACGACAAAACTTGGAGGATTCTACATCAACTCAGGTGCTCTCGACTTCCGGTATGCATCCGAAGATTCCACAGATGATTTCCAGGGCCTCAAGAGTTCTGGCCTCAAGAAGAAGAGGAAAATCAGGGTTAGTGTCAGAAAATTGGCCTTCGTATGATCAGTCCCTTTCTTGTATGTGTGCAGAACCTAGAAATAGTATCTTCAAATACACGACAAATGTGTCATGTCTTAAAATAGGACATGTAAAATAAAACCAATTGTATTCTCATTGTCAGTACTTCGTGGGTTTATATCCACTATGTTCCTTCTATTGCCATGATCACCTTTGAATCTAGTATGTGGCTGCTTTGCAGTATGGTCGCCCATTTTTAACCAACATTGCAATATTTCTCCTGCAACCTGTGCTACAGCCTTGCTGCCCTCTGCTCTCCACATTCCTTCAGTATGAGGCATCTGTAGGGTGTGCACTAAAGCTCATGCAGAGTGGGGCTCATTTGACTTCCATGAATTCTACTCTACCTTATTATAACTGCTTGACTTAAGGAAAGCATGCATCACTTCAACTCTTCATTTCGGCAGTATATCATGAAACATTGAAAGTATACTGATCCATTTCCCGGGATAATAATGGTACATGTTTTGAGCATAAAACAAAGTTTGACTCTATATAAGAAGCATAAATAATAATGTTGTTTTTATTATGACAAACCTGTGAAGTACTGACAATGTTGTATTCTAATGGTGTAGATAACTATGAACGTTCTTTATTCCAGACGATTGAGTCTGACTCTGACTCAAATGCTGAAGTCAAGAAAAATGGCCCCAAGGTAGGTACTCCGGGGTGCTAAGAATGAAGAGGGAAGGGAACAGAGCTGTCTAGCCTCTGTTCTGCTTAATCAATCTACCTGCTTAGACCATCATGAGTTACAGGAATCATACGATGGGGAAGGTGGTAAGATTGCTTTGGACAAGGCTGATATGCTGTCATAGTTCTGGATCTGTTTTCACCTCCCTTTGAGGAGAAGATGCTATAAGTTGTCCCTAGCACCCCTTTTTGTATGGACCTACCAAATTCAGGATTTGGTGGTTGCTATGTGTGACGTGGCTGACGTATCCTCGCAGTGTGGGTCATTCACAATCCTGTTAACACTGGTTTGTCTGGTACAGATTCTATTATTTACATGTTGCTGTGATACAGCTTCAGTGTTGATGAAGTTTAAAAAAATAACACTCATTCATTCTTTCCTGATCACACACTGGGTGACTCCTCATGTCTTCATATTGCCATCCTCAATTATACATTGTATTATTTATCCCATGTCAAGATGATGTGGATGAAAATCTAAATTATTTAGTGTTTTTCAACATACTCACCTTAATAGAAATATTTAAGGCAACAAAATATCCAAGAAAAAAATGAAATTGCATGTGTGAATAGCTCGATGTTTCAAATGTGAGGAGAAGGCTATTAGTTATGAATGACACTGGACAAAGGACCACGGACCAAGATGGGTCACGGTCATAACCTGTCTACAGTGCTGTATCTGTACATACTCTCCTTACACCCACATAATGAAGACGGCTTGATGATAAAGCTGAAAGATTGAATACTATGATGTAAGTCCACACTCATTCACTGACTGCTCACCCCACAGAAGCGCAAGCTGAAGGAGGGGGTTGATGGGGAGAAGAAGAAGAAGAAGAGGCTGGTGATTGGTCCAGATGGGGAGAAGATTGTGGTGAAGAGAGGCAGAAAACCACTGGACAAAAATAAACTCAAGTATGTACGCTAACCATGGTTACGATGATCACTTACTACTGGAAAGTTAAAAACTATGTATCAAAACTTTGTGTGAGATTCAGGTAATATTTTAGTGTTTCTCAGGCACCAGTGTTAAACCTATGAGAACCATCTGCTCCTCACCTGTTCTATCCCCCGGTTATAAGACGGGGAGATATATTGATCAGCATGTCTGTCTGTCTGCCGTCCCTTTTCCTTTTTCAAAGCAGAACTAAACCGTTGAATATTTGAAACTTGTTATACAGATCAGCCTTTTGGTGAACTGGTGCCTTTCGATGTTTGGGGATTTTTTAAACTTTTATTTTTTTGTTTACATGACAAGTTGGACATGTTCTGAAAATGAGGGTTATGCTTGTTTCTGGAGCAGAACTCCAAAACTGTTGGATATTTCTTAATGAAACTTGCTATACAGATCAGTCTTGTGGTGAATTGGTGCCTTTTGATATTGTTTTTGTTTTCATGACAAAAGTTGGACTTGTACTTGGAGTGAGGGTAGTGCTCGTTTATGGAGCAGAACTCTAAAACCATTTAATATTTCTTCATGAAAATTACCATACAGATCAGTCTAGTGGTGAACTGGTGTCTTTTGATGATTTGGGATATTGAAAAATACTGAACAGCAGTTTTCTTCACTGAACTGAAGGTATCAGATGGTGAAGAACCAAAAGTGGGGATAAGTAGCCAACCTCCATTTCCGAAATGCACCAGACAGGGGGATATGTCATCTTCTGATGACTCTTGTATTTTTCCGTCCAGTCGGAGATGCAGTTCTTTTTGTTTTTAGGCTCAACTGACATGATTACATCTTTTTTCATGGCTACTTGAATTCTCAAAATTATTTTCATGGTATGGAATTATTTGACTTTTGTGTGAAAATTAATTATAGTTATACCAAGATTCCGTCCGTCCAAAAACTTTGTCCTCGCGATTTCTCTTAAACTATTCAGTGGATTCATCTCAAACTTAGTACATATAATCTGTGTCATATGGAGGGGTGCAGTCAAAAGAAAAAATTGTTTTTATTAATTTTCCATTTTTTTAATGAATTTTTCAAACCCTAACCCTATCCATTATTTAATTTGAAACTACTGACACACTAGGCGGGTCGGGGGTATTAGTGAGCTTCGCTCCCTTTTGCCCTTGTTACCTGTTACATTTCTTGCTTTGTTATTTGCAAACCAACGAAAAGGACATGAAATGTGATTACAATATTATGTTTAGGAAAAAGACTTCCCCAACTGTGTCGGAGCTGCTGAAACAACAGACTGCCTCCATTTCTACTCCAACTCACGCTGTGAATGGTGGGGGTGGAGGTGGAGGTGGCGGTGATGGCAGCCGGCCTGCGGATGAGGGCTACAACCCCTATGATGGCATCAGCAGCACCATTGAGATGTTGCTGAAGGATGACTCAGAGAGCAGAGATGGCGACGACTACAAGAAGCCGGAGACAATGGTCCCACTACCTCAAGGGCTCTCGGACAACCTTGTGCAGACTATCACCAGCCTTAAGAAGGTAGACATTGTTACAACTTCACACCCTGGCATGCACCATGTTCCTCCATCATCCATCTGTGCATAAAGCCATTGTTCTATGAAGAGCTGTGTTAACCAACGAATCAAGCCGTGCCCCCTGTTTCTAGAGAGATGGGTGTTCTGACCAATGAGCACACTGATTACATCACATAAACAGCAATGGCTCCTGCTTGAAAATGTATGGAATATAGGCCATGGTCTTGTAACACATGAATCTAACTGTACACCTTGCTTCAGTGACTGGCAGAGGTAGGGGGGTAGGGCGGCCGGGTTGCCTGGTGGTTAAAGCTTTTGCTCGTCGTTCAATTCTCAACATGGGTACAAAGTGTGAAGCCCATTTCTGGTGTCCCCCACTGAGATATTGTTGGAATATGGCTAAAAGGGGCGTAAAACCATACTCATTCATTCCGGGGTATGGTTTGCACAAAGTCCATGAAAGGAGTAGTGCTCTTGTGACGTCATGTGTTTAGACACAATCTCATTTTATCAGATGACTAAGTTAGCTGTTAACTGATGACACTGTTAAGCAGGTGTATGTATTCGCAGGTGATGGAGGAACGTAGTGGAAGCTGGGGAAATATTACTGATATATGGCATGTTTTGCTGCGTTTTTTCCGGAATCATTCTCAACTGAAATCTATACTGCTTAACTACAAACTCAGAACCAGAATCTTGAATGTTTTTCATTTGTATGATAGAAAACTAATTCGAGCAAGTCATATTTTCCAGAAGAAATTGTGCAGATTTTCCAAACTTGATCCTTGTGAAGGTTGACATATTTTATTGCTACTTCATTTAAGTGATATATGGGAGTAATGCTCCTGTGAGATATTTATGATCAATAGAGTTGTGTCCCCTGATATGAGCCCAAATGTCTTTTGAAGTCTCTCAATATGTCCACAATAACTGGCATTACGTATGATGAGAGTTTGTATGTTCTTTTTTTCAGTCTGCCAAGGAGTCTAGAGAAGGGAAGTGTAAATTTTTCTCACCGAACGTGAACAGGATGTTGTTGGAGTGAGTTTTGCTATAATTCATTTTGCCCCCAAACCCTGTCCAATACATGTCTCGCAGGCTAATGTAACTCAGTCACCATACTATTTTGAACTTTTTGAATGGATAAGCCTGAACCAGTACAACAAAACAGTTGTCAAAGGCAGCATGATTGTCCATCATTTGTCTTGATTAGATATCATTGTGTCATGTGTTGAAGGTTGTACATCTACAGTCTCCAATCTCATTCCTGGAAGCAAGCATCCTTTTCAGTTTCTTGTATCCATTATGATGTGGAGACATATGGCTTGCAGCATGCCCAGTGCCCTATGCTTATTCAAACCTTGGACAAGCCTTGAAGGGTGTCTGAGTAGGAGTCTATTTACATGACAGGATCTGTGATAGTGTTGTATTACTGTGTATTTGGATTTGAAAGGTAGTGTTCTTCAATCTCATTAGACTCAGATCTGATTTCTTGCTACCGCTATACAAACATCTGAGGACACCTCAATACTGGTCACATCAGGACAACCTTTCATCTGACCTATCTGACCTTATCAGGTCAGGAAATGACAGTCAGAACGTGTCTTCTAATCATGCAATTTCTAAAAGGTTAAAACAGTGTATTCTAACTACAGTTACAGGCTATACAACTGAATCTGTCAAAATCAACATCTGTCTCGCACTTCTGTGGGATAAACATTGTAACCGAAGAGACTTTCCATAGCCCGTGATAAGTACTGCCATACAATCTAGGCCATCTATAAGACATTCCAGAATATTCTTTTGTTCAGTTTTCAAATATTTAATCGAGAACTTTTTCAAAATATTTTTCATAGTCTGTTTGGAAATTGTCAGGTTGAAACTAGTGCTGTACAGCTTGAGGAAGCTCACGAAGGTCGTTCTGACATCGCCTGTAATGGGATGTCCTCAGATCTTTGTTCAGCGGTAGCAAGAACTAAGATCTGACTTTAATGAGATTGAATTTTGTTGAAGCCGATCTCATTAAAATCAGATTTTTAGTTCTCGCTACCGCAAAACAAAGATCTGAGGACATCCCATTATGGGTCATGTCAGACCGATCTTTCGCTAACTTTGACCGTCTAATTGAATGACTGACAAGAAGTCGACAATAGCCAATCAGAAGGCAGCTTAATCGAGCTTTACGGCACGAGTTTCAAACTAGCGACTACGCTTCGAAACATATTCTGACATATACACGATTAAAAAAACATAAACTGAACAAAAGAACGTTCTGGAATGGCAAATAGATCGTTTAGATTGTATGAATACAGACATAAAGCACATAACTGTCTTTCGGAATACCTTGTGTGTGTTTTTTTCGAGGTTGCACGATCAAAAATCACATTCCATCTGTTACTTTCATGATCTGATAAGCGATGCTCTGATTGGTCAGATGAAAGGTCATTCTGACATGACCTGCAATGGGATGTCCTCAGATCTTTGCTTTGCGGTAGCGAGAACTAAGATCTGATTTTAATGGGATTGTGTTGAAGCTGACATTTTTGCCCCCTTGCCCTCATGAAAGGAAGGATGATGCTGAAGACAAGGTCTTTTGACTTTGAGTCTACTAGCCTATACTTATTTAGGTATTTCTTATGAGTTGTTTCACATGCTATGCTCGCTACACCAAAAGCATATTTTCTGGGCCTGGGCTTCAGACTAGTGGCTTAAGTAAGGAGTCATATTTGTGTGTGTATTGTTCTAGTGTGGAGGTAAAATCCCGTCAGCTGACGTGCGGGAACCGCTCATCCATCTTTGCCCATCTGTCCTGTTTCCTGCCATGTGGGAAGGAGACACTGCTGAAGCGGGCCAAAAAGCTACGACAGTCACAGCAAGATGATATGCTCCGAGATCCACTCAACAAACTGAAAGAAGGTTGGATTTTCTGTCATTTGTAGGGTCTATATTACTGGCTCAATTCATATCTTGAATGGCCTCGAAAAAATACACATGATACATGAACTTGATAGGGGTTAGTGGTTAAAGTGTTTGCTTCCCACACCAAAGGCCTGGGTTTGATCCCCCACATGGGTACTATGTGAGAAGCTTATATCTGGTGTCTCCTGGCATGACCTTGCTGACATATTGCTGAAAGTGGTGTAAAGCCCAAATCACTACTAGCCATAACCAATGGGTAAACAGATGTATACAAAAAGTATTTGGTTGACTAGAGTCAGTTTAACTAACAGAACAAATAAGAATTCTCCTGCATTTGCAGTCGGATAATAGTGACATTATGTGATTGACCTTATGACGATATATGCATGTCATGGCAGAAAGTATTTCAAAACAAAAAAGGAAAGTTTTGGCAGGGGGATTTGCAGACTGTGGAACTTCTGTACAGAATGGCATTAATCCCCTCTCTGTCACTATTTCACATGTAATGGGCATTTGTAACCATGTAAGAGGTCAGATCATAGAGATGACAGTGAAATGTGGTTTAAGAATTGTACAAGTACAAAAAACAGTGGTTGAAATATCCCCAGGTCTGAGAACGAAGACCAGACTCATTTCACGTGGGACTAAGCATTTTATTCGTCAGTTGGTATAATGGACCAGCTCATTTTCAAATCATTTCAAATTAATATGAGTGTGATTATCTGAAGATATCGGTCAACCCTACGAGTCTACTGACAGCAATTCTACTTCCCAGACAAATAAAATGTTTACTTTTCAGTTAACCATACCATTCATTTTACACAAGGTCATATAAATGAAAATACGACCATTGTCGGAAATACAAGATATTGAAAAAGATCTTCACATGGTATTATCATGAGCTATTTTAAGTTGCAATTTTTGGTCCAAGTTGAAACTATTTGGGACCAGGGGAAATTCTCAGGCTTTGGTCCAAAACTCTTGCCCGATTTTTCAACCCCTGAAAACTATTTAGGAGCATATGCATCATTGTAAAATAAATTGAAATCTAAGGTTGAAAAACAACAAAAAATACACAGATTTGTCTTCGTTGTTGCAGCTGTAAACAGCATGATGCCGACACTGTTGGAGAAATATGATGCCGAGAACCAACTGGCTGTTCTCATGAGGTAAAGAAAAAACACATGCCTAGATATGAGTTTTTTGTCGTGGCTTAGCAGAATCACTAGTTTTTGTTTCGAAGTTGTTTCAGTTGTTATTGTAAAGATGCAGTGCTTGGTTGTGTAATAATGTATCCTCTTTCAGAATGGAAAACAAAGAGAAAGTGGACTCAGAACAGAAAGACCCTAAGGAAGAAGGGTCAACAGAAAGTGATGAAGAGGAACAAAGAGGTCCAGATGGAGAGAAGAAGAAAAGGATAATGGGACCTCGTAAAAAGTTTGAATGGACAGATCATGTCAGGTTTGGACAAACTTCAGTTTTGGATGCCTTATTTCTCCTTCAAACTTTACATTATAATTACAGCATGTTCAGATAAATTAAACTCGCATGGCAATATTTTTTTGTAAGATTTTCTCCTTGCCAAGGTTTAGTTTTAATACCACCAAAGTTGTACTGAGGATAAAACGAACTCGCATCATATAAAAAATATGATGTTAAATTTTCTCCTTACCATATTTGTTGGATTCAAGTGGTTCAACTAGATGGAAAGAAGACAAGAATTAACAATCAGGGTGAAACATGAATATGTCAGATACTTGTTGGCTATTTTGGTGTACAAAGGAAGGGTTTTGGCACGTACATACTTACATGCTTTGCAGGTCTCTTTACTTATTGACATGCTTTCTCAGGAATCTGCTGTGTGAAGTCACAAAGGTAAAGATGAAGACTTTTGCTGCTGCTAAGCAGAGGGGGCAGACTGCTGAGGAATATGTACGATTCTTCCTTGGCGCCGATGTACTACCAATATGGCCAAAAGGTTGGATGCAGACCCGGTTAGTACGGAACACCTGAGGGTTTGGTCTGCTGTGTGATTGTCCTTAAGGGGAATCAGCAGGACCCCCCCAGGCTTGTAAGATGAAGAGCGGAATAAAATAGTAATAGGGAAGACGAGGGCGCTTGCACAAAGTGATTTTAGTGCTGTTGATAGGCCAGTGTTGAAGTTTTTATCATAATTCTGTTATCGCATTGTACAAGAGGGCCTCAACAGCTTCTGTGTATTCTGCTCCAGGCACAAGTACACAAAACATGCTGTTGTGATTCAGTTGTTTTGCTGTTTAGTCAAAGCCTGTGCACTCTACCAGTGAGATGAAGAGGGGAGGTAACTGGGTGGGGAACAGATTTGTAGTTCATGAAAGTCCACAGACTGTCTTGGAATGTGTAGTCATTTGATTAAACATTGTAGTCAACACCTTCAGTTGCTGTATGACTTGAGAGGAAGGGCTAGACTAGAGGCTCAGGTAGATTTTTGTCTTTGATGTCATGTCTAGGTCAACTTGTCCAACTCAGATCCATTGCTCATAGGATTCTTATATGGTGTTGACAGTAGCTATGCAGAAAATAACACTCTTATCCATTACTGTTACATGTGTCAATATTAATTGGATTTACAGTGTGTTTGTCTATCATGAGTTGCGTATCATGTCTATTGTGTATAAAATATTTTGTTTGTATATTTTGACATCTTATCTGTATTCATAGTTTGACCCTCAAATTCTATTTGTATTTGGTGATGCCACATCTCTACAACAGAAGTGTTTTTGAATTTGAAATTTGGAACATGAAGTGTCGTTCTAGAGACCTGGATCCACTTGCACAGAGTGATTTTAGTGCTGAGATGATTGTAACTCCAATACTTTAACATAGGCTTAAGATAATCTTAGCACTAAGATGGCTTTGTGCAAGTGGGCCCTGAGCTTTAGAGGTCAAATCTTTTGGTGGCTATGTTACAAATGTCACTTTTACCTGCTATTCAGAATTTTGTTCATGTAGCGATGTGTATTTTGATAAACACTAAACATGCTCTAGACTACTGTTGTGAAAGAAATGTGTACTTACATATTTCTATTTTTGTCCTTTTTCCATGCGCCTAGAATGCTGTACAAGGAGAGCAGAGCTGCTCATGCCTTATGGACAAACCCGTGAGTGTACTTCTTGGCAGTGGTTGTAATATGTGAAACTATGGCTATTGTAAGGGTGAAACGATCCACCGATATTCGATGCATGGCGATACTTGACCCACGATACGATATACGATAAACATGGGCCCATTTATCGATACGCCACGATACGAACGCAAATCTCAAGTCCAGCGTTTCCTCGCTATTGTGCCTTTCAATAAACCGCTAACTTGGTTATAGCGCGCGCTAACGCATGGCTCCCCAAAACGTACTTACATTTTTAAAAAGCTCAGGTTTTACACCGACAGATGTTTTTCCCCATCTCATAAAACATTATCAGCTGATCACCGCAAGCACATAACACCGAAAATACCAGTCAGCAAATCCGAAACTGAAGTACGCAATTCAATACCATTATTATACTATCTTGTTATTAAAACGTGTTCATTGTATATCTGGACTTGTGTATGTAATATATTTGATTAATTTTATTCAAAATTTCATTTAATATTGTTTTCATTAAGTTATGTGAAATCGTGTGTGAAGAGATACAGCAACCACAGTCAGATTACCACTTTTGACACATTGAAACAAACTTTAGTTGCTAGAGAATGGATACATATATTAAAAATGCCATACTTTGACTCGTTAAAAGTCATATTTGTGGCAATTTGGCTAATATATGTCAACATAACGTTATCGCAATTGAAATACATGTAGCACGGGAAGTCCCTAGGGTGACTGGTCAAATTGTTCCATACGTAAAAATATCCTGCAACAGCAATCACCAGTATGCTGCACTTGTGGTTATTATAATTATAAATATATATATAGTAAAAGCTGCAACTAAGGTAACACGATATTGGAATAAATATTTCTGATAAAACAATAATTTCAGATACAATTTCTTCGTCCATTGCATCAAAATTCTTTGAAGTTGTATCTCTGGTGGAGTACAATAATTATTTTCTGTTGTTTGAACTTTGAATTGTTTTGAAGGAAAGTTGAACAACTTCAGTAGTCTTGTTATTATAAAATAATTTTGACTGTTCCAAAATCATGAAAGGTTCAATCTTGACATGCTTTAAGTCTTGTTTTTTTTAGCATTGCGTATCGAGATACGTATCGTATCCTGACCAGAATATCGAGATGCGTATCGTATCGTGACCTTCCTGTATCGTTGCAGCCCTAGGCTATTGCATTGTTTAAAATATGTATTGTGGTCCCTATTAATTGAATAGAAGTTGAAGAAAAGTGAAATTTTCCACTTGTATCTGTGTCTAGTGGTAAAAAGTTCCAATTCTAAAATATTGACATGGAGAAACCCTTCAAATCTGTTGATTCTGCTTCCGAAATTTAACAGATTCAAGAAATTTCTCTGACTTAAACCATGTTATAGTTGATACATAATTTCCCTGTGTTTCTGCATAACGACCTTTAGTTGCATAAGGTTTTCATCTGCAACACAAACAGTGTGATGTCATCAAAGATTTTGGTCTAATTAGAAGATCCTAAGTGAACATTGCCAACATGTATCTATATTGCAGTGTCTTTCTGTTGAATATTTGTGACTACAGGAGGTAAGGGACCTTATAGGTGAAAAATCACGTTTGACTTTTTATTATATTTTAAACTACAATATCTTCGGCACTCAAAAATACAATTCACAAGCTTCAATTCATATTTATTACACAGATACATGATATGACTCATTTTCTGACTTATTACTCTTCATGCAATAATTACAGTTTTTAGACATAATGTCTGATGAATTATAAGTAGATATGTGTGCTGAAAGGTTTTAAAGTAATGTTATTTTTGCACAGTCCACTAACAATTGAGATCTTCACTGAAGTAAGTTAAAGTAAGACGTCTTTATCATGTCACAGCACAATTGTATCTGAGCATCCATAAGGTCCCTTTTCTCCTGGTGGGTCATATTTATTGACGATGCTGTATGGAAAATAAGGGTGGTTGGGAGCCTAATGGTTGAAGCACTCACTGATGACAAAGGCCTGGGTTCGAGTTCCAACATGGGTTCAATGTATGAAGCTCATTTCTGTTTTCAGTCAGCTGTATAGAAAAAAATGTATGAACATTGTTCAGTGAAATCTTCTTCTCAAGATTGTTTTCTGTCTCTGTATTTTCCAGTCAGAAACCAAGGAAGTCCCTTCAAGGACCTAACAAGACTGCATCCCCCACCCCTACCTCTGTGCCCTTTGGGTCCCGTAGCAATAACAACAGCATCATTGAGATATTTGATTCCGTAGACAATGATACCTTCAAAGAGGGATCAGGTTCCGACAAGGAAACCGGCACCTTGCGACTTGAAGACTATATGGACATTACAGATGTGGATAACATGTTGTCTGAAATCAGTAAAACTGATAACGACACAAGTATGCCTACTATTCTGGATTATGCGGACAAAATGAACACAAGTGCTACAGGTTTTACCCCTGACGTTAAGAAACAACCTGGGGCTGTGGAGAATCCACAAGTGAGGCCGCATTCCACAGGCCAAGCTGTTGCTAGTGTGCAGAAGAGTCGAGATGTGAAGCATGGACTGGTAACTGAAATGTTGCAGAGTCCACTTCCATCAACACCTAATACTGCTAAGTTATCAACACCTAACATTTTATCACCACAAACTGAAACTGTTACCCAGAAAAGTGCTTATATGGCTGAATTTGAGAAACATTTAATGGCAACCACAACATTAAAAGAATCACCTCCAAAACCTCAGGGCTCCCCTAATGAGCAATCTGCCTCATCTAAACTGCAGTCAATGCTGGCACAAGCACAAGCCAGTAGTAGCCAGCATGTGAAGCAGAACCTTGCAACTCCTAAAACCTCACACGTCAGCAGTGCCCAGCATGACCAAGCTCTCCAAGACATACAGAAGAAATTAGCTTCATCCCCTCAGGCCCATAACAGACTCTCTTTGGGGCAGAACACTGTCTCTAAACCACTCGCGACCTCGCTTAAAACATCAAGCCCTCTGAGCCAGAAAATGCAGGGCTCTCCTTCGCAAACTATTCACAACCCTCACTCTACCCAACCACATAAACTCTCACTATCTCAAGGAACGAAATCATTGTCTGCTCAACCTCAGAAATCACCATCTGTTCAACAGCAGAAAACAACGTCTGTTCAACAACAAAAAACACCATCGTTCCAGCAACAGAAAGCACCATCACTCCAGCAACAGAAAGCACCATCACTCCAGCAACAGAAAGCACCATCGCTCCAGCAACAGAAAGCACCATCACTCCAGCAACAGAAAGCTCCATTGCTCCAGCAACAGAAAGCACCATTGCTCCAGCAACAGAAAGCACCATCACTCCAGCAACAGAAAGCACCATCGCTCCAGCAACAAAAAACACCATCAACTCAAGCACAGAAAATATCGGTTGGACAGGTTGCTGGTCTGCACAAGAAACAATATACTTCAGAATCAAGGCAAAAGGTGGAGTCATCTGCTCCTAAGGACCTCGTTGTGCCAAGCTCTTTGTCCTCTGCCTCCATAGACCAGGAGGCAGTGAAGCAGTTGCATCAGCAGCTCTTGCAGTTAGCCAATGCTCAGTACAAACCTCCAAGTAAGTCGGTCAGCAGCAGCAAGGCAGGACAGGATTCTGTTGTGGGACAGTTGTTTAAACAGCCACTTCCTGCAAATATGGCAGCTCAACAAAGGCAGATGCAACCTGGCAAGACCTCAGTTACATCTGCCTTAAAAATAGACACTCAGAACTCAATGGGAGCATCACCACAAAGACATTCCCCTCAGGATCAGTTGAGAATGTCCCCTCAAAGTCAGAGACATGCAAGTCCAAGTCAGAAGCAGACGTCATCTGTTCATATGTCTGGAGGATCTCTTCATTCCCCTACCAGCAGTAGGAAATCTCCAGGTGAAGTGTCAGGTAAGGTTCCGGCTGGTATGGGTAACCAGCTCTCCCCAAACCAGGCACGGGCACTGCTCAGTATGCAAAGCCCAAGTGACAGTCTAGCTCATGCTAAACGAAGTGCTAGTGCTAATGACGCCTTATCTAGGAAAAAAAGTGTTGAGAAATCTATACTAGAGAAAGTGATTGAAGATTATACAATGGAGATGAAAGTTAAAGAACAGCAGCAGCAGCAGTTTGCTGGCTCAGGGCAACTTCAGGTGACGGCTCCTGCCCTCAGTCCATCTCAGGGATCCTTGCCTCGAACAATGTGGCAGCAAACTACAGGCAGCTCCCCTACAGCCACTGGCACCAGTCGCATGTCGGCATTCAGCCCTCCCTCAGGAACAAACAAACCAACCAAATCAGTGTCTCCAATGGTTATGTCAGGCTATCAGGGTGTCAAGATGCCAAGTTTGTCAAAGGACTCTCCGACATCAACATATTCTCTCAGCCTTCAGAACATGCAGCAGCGGAGCAGGGCTCAGGACTTGATAGCAGGTAGGACCAATTTAGGTGTGATATGGAAAGTTCAATGACCTCATATAATTTGTTCAGCCCAACCTTACTTTAATTTAATCCTGTGTAAAGTTCAGGTCTGGATAGAGCCCCAGAACCTAATGCTTTGTTTGTGAGAGGCAAATGAATCAGAAATGAGAGGATGTAATGGCCCCTGCATGCGAAATCAGTGGGGATGTGTCAATCAGTGGGGATGTGGGGATCAGTGGGTCTTAAGTCAAGTTACAAAATCAGTGGGGATTTGATTGTGTGTCATCATGCCAGGGCAACAGGGTCAGGTGCTTTCCCTCCTGACTGACTAGGTCAACGCTCAAGCCATAGAACTGGGATATTGCTGACAGGGGGGAAAACTTCATTCCGTCATTCGCTCACATACTAAGTGGCCCGCGAAGATTTAGGTTAGATTAGGTCTTCAGCTACCCATGCTTGCCATAGCAAGCGACAAGACTTATCGTAAGAGGCGACTAATGGGATCGGGTGGTCAGGCTCGCTGACTTGGTTCATGCATGTCATCATATCTCAATTGTGTAGATTGAAGCTCATAATATCAGTCACTGGATTGTCTGGTCCAGACTCTATTATTTACAGACCGCTGTCATAAAGCTGGAATATTGCTCAGTGCGGCGTTAAACAACAACAAACAAACAAAACAAACAAATACCTAGTGCCTCAATTGTCAGGTATTTGTCATCCTGGTCATTAGAAGCCAAACAGATTTGGTAAGAGCCATCTTGAAAGAAATCTTCTTCTCTTCAGGCACCCGTGTTTCTGCACCCCAGCCTGCTCATAGCTCAATGTCCCCAAATGCCGCTGCCATCAGCACTTTTCCCAGTCATTCCCAGCCTCCAGCAGCTCATTCCACACTCCCTGCGAACCAGCACCAGATGGCGGGTGAGTACTGGACATGGACACAACTGGTGCATACAACCCAGGGGAGTCTGACCAGGGGAAACATCCAGGGCCTCGTTCAACACTAGATCTTAGCACTGCGACTATCATGAGCACTGTAAATCTTGAAATTATCGCGAGCATGAATTTCATGTTAATACAAAAAATGTGAGTGGTCTTTACTCGCATTAACTTATCTTTGCATCTATGTCTCCAAAATGACAGTCACAACAAGACGGCCTACTTTGGATAGCGGAAAGTCCGATTAATATTGAGTTGCATTTTTGGCTAAGGATCAGCAGTGCTGAGGTCAAATTAAGTAACAAGGCCCAGTTATCTTTGCCTGTTAGCCATAACTTTAATGTGGATATATTTGTCACGATCTCTGCTGTATAGATTGAACTTCAGTGGCTGACCAATTATCTGATGATTGGTTATCCAAAAGTGATGCTGGGTTGTCTGGACTGGGTCCGATGGTTTTGCCCGCTGTTGTGATATAGCTGTAATGCGCTTACAAGAGTAATAAAATTTTGTTCACTCGCTCTGACAAGCAATTTATTATAAGGGATGTGTACAGTGGATAGCACTGTACAAGACACTCGGACAGTTACTGAATTCTCTCAGAATGGGAACTATATATGTTGACTTGATCAGACACTGATACAAATCTGTCCAGATGGATGCAATGTTGAGCTGCTCATGTTGCTGTTTGTACCTCCAAAGGAATTTGTGGCTTTGTTTATGGTTATGTCTTCTGACATTTTAGTGGATGGTAATTCTGTCATGAGGGGTGTTTTCTTTGCCATATCTTATGGCATGCCTGTCTGAAATTGGTAGCTGAGAATATCCAGATGGACCATTTAGAAAAAATTGAAAATCCAATGTCCAATCATTTTTTCTTCATTTCTGTGAGACAATAATGTAAATAAAACATCTGTTCTCGATGTCCTTGCCTTGTCAGAAAGAGATGAATGCCTTGTATTTAGGTTGTTGTGATCTGTGCAAGTTGGACTCAAACCAACATTATGCAAGATGAGGATAATTCTGTACTGCAATGTAGTTTCTCATCTACTCTACAGCTTCAAAGCTTTGCTTTTGCATTTAACATGTTTTGCTTTGTGCTCTGATATAGCATGATGTGTCTCCCATTATCTTTATCAACTCAAGTTCTCTAGTGTTGTTTAATAAGTATTTGAATTCTTTTTGTGTTTCATTTCTAATGTAAGCATTAAATTTGTTGAAAGTACCAAAAAACAACTTGTTTCACTTGGACGAAAATCGTGCTTGAGTTTTAAAGCGTAGCTGGGAGACACACAGTGTTGTCAGATAGTGCTTTGTGCCTTTCAGGGTTACCTCCCCCTCTCGGCAGCCCACACCTCTTCCTGCCGTCTGCCACACCCACAACCACAGTCGCTGCCATGTATGGTAGGACACTGCCAGGTAGGGGGGAGAACTCACTGCTCTGCTTTAAGAAGATCTAGGTCTAGTCTAGATGCATCATCATGTAGAAGTTATGTTTCATAATTCACTTGTCTCCTCAGTCATGAGACTTCCATTCGCAGTGAACAGCTGATTCTGTGCTGTGAGTTTTCTTTAAGACCATACTGCCAATAACACCTCCACCCACTCCCATACCATCAGTATTATTGAGAGTAACTATCATATTTGCTCTTAGCCATCGGATATATGAAACAAGACATTAGTTTGATAACTCTGTCTTACTTAATGTCGTGGGGGCACGGTCGGCCCAGTCGTCTAAGGTGCCACAGCGTTAGAAATTGCCAAACTGCCCAAAAGTTAAGGTATCATAAGGACTAGCAGAAATTTGTAATTTTTAAGGGTTTTGCTACATATTACCATGACAAGGACTAGTCGACTAAATATGTTAGTTTCTAACCCTGCGCCACTATTGACTGTGGGTTTGAATCCTGGTTTGCCCGATTATGTTCTAAGCAGCATTGAACCCAGCTCATTAGCTCACTCACTCACTCACTCACTTAATTATTGTGCTCCATCTAAACATATAGAAGTGCATAAAATATGTTTAAAGTGATGCTTTGTTAGTTTGAGAGGTTGTGTTTTCGTCTCAAACTGAATAAGAGAATTTCAAAAATTGCTTCTTTCAGCATATGAAGTTCTCTTCTTTCATTTCTGCCTGAAATGCATTGGCCTGTTTTATTGATTGTCTTCAACATTAATTCAAATATTCTTCATGTGGCTGATTCTGTCTAGTTTTCTGCTTGCATGTAAATCAGGACTCCGATGTGTTTATGCTCATCTTCCCTAGGCAAGGGAGTTAACTGACTGTAAAAGTCCAGTTCCCACCCTTTCCGAACTAGGCTGGAATTTTTGGGCTCAATCGTAGCACCATCAGTGGCTATTACGAGTTATGTCCCTTCTATGTCCCTTCTATGTCCCTCCTATGTCCCTCCTATTGACCAATCAGTTTCCACCTCTCATGTCACTTGCATTTGCTTCTGACAAAATTGTGTTGCCCAGTCAAGACGATCTGATCGATAAACAAAATCTATATTGTGATAAAATGGATCTACTTCGCGAAGTGCATCAAATCGCATGTGTACCTTGATTAAAATATCTGTTAATGCTGAGTTGGCGGTACACATGCTTTGCAAATCCTGCAATTGACCGATATCTGCACGGCAGTTTACGAACCAGATGTCGATTTCTTTTACGATTTTGATTGGACAATGCATAGACTCATTAGTCCAGCCAGAATATAACTCCAGCATTATTTATTATTCCAGCCTAGTTCGGCAAGGGTGGAAACTTGACTTTATGGTCAGTTAATTCCCTTGCCTCAGAAAGATGGTTTATGCTTAACCTGTTGAAGATGTAACGAAAGATGTAAGATTTTAAGCTTAAAAGCTTCAGTGAAGATAGAGTATTAAAACTGTTTGCTGCTTTTGCTGTTTGAAGTAGTCCTACTAATGTCCGCTTGCCTCCAAATGAGAAAGATGAATTGCAAAATAACTCAAGATTGGGAATAGTCTATTAAATGTCAATACAGTACACAGCAATGAATATCCTGTAATATCTGCTGTTTATTTTTATTCCTATCACTGGATAGGTTGGAAATCATTCCCCGTACCCTTGTGTAGCATGTGTAGTACGTGTTTGCGCTGTTCCTCCTACTGTTTTGCCCGCTGCATTCAAGATGTCAACTTGTACACATAACAACATGATAGTCTCTTACGCAACTTTTTCCAGTAATGGGAATAAAAATAAAAAACAGCCAATATTCTTAGATACAGGTTGCCGTGTACTGTATTGACATTTAATAGACTGTTTCTGATTTTGAGTTATTTGCAATTCATCGTTCTCATTTGGAGCTAAACGGACTATAGTATTAGTTACTGTTGTGGGTTTGACTATATAATATTCTTGGCGTAGGGGATCTGTTTTTAATGACTGCGTTAAAACATGCACATTTCTTTCTCTGAAATGAGGAGCCAGAAATAATTTAGTTACCTGCGATGTGATATTTTATGGACCCGTGGAATAGGTCTTCAGTAACCCATGCTTGCTGTAAAAGGCAACAATGCTTGTCGTAAGAGACGACTAACACGCTTGGGTCACTGACTTCGTTGAAGCATGTCATCGTATTCCAATTGAATGGATCATACACATGATGTCAATCACTGGATTGTCTTCAGACTTATATATGTTTGAATAAAGATAAGACTTCAGTCAACTTCAGTGAATATGCATGACCAGATCGTTTTGTATGTGTATCAAAATACATTTTGCTCGGGCTACTGTCAAACTATTCCCTATCGGGCATTTTGTTCCTATCTCTTGAAACCAACGGTGGGTACCCGGGTAGGGTCGGGTAATAGGGGTGTGGGTACCCAAGTAGTAAATCAGGACTCGTCCCAGCCCTAAAGGATACTATAAAATAGTATTTTATGAGACCATCAAGCATTTCCAGTGAACACTATAGTTTACTGGTGAAACCTGATGACAAGTTCATCTTGCAGTCAGCCTCAACCCCAGAATATTACATGGTCGGCCTGTAAACTAAGTGACAGTCAACACATAATTGTTTTGTGCTCATTAATGATAACCTGCTTATTCCCACCTGACATGTGCAATAATCCTTAGTAAACAAGAGTTATGTCCCTTATACTGCCAAGCATGAAATGATGCATATCTCTTGAAGTGGCATCTAGAAGCTGTGGGCCCAATGGCAGCAATGACTATTCATTTGGTACAGATACAATATTTTTGTCAAGCAACTTGTTTCATAAAGGTGCCAGTAACTGTACTGAACATATGGAAATATTGCATTGAAAGAATCAAAGAAGTTGACATCTTAAGCCAATCCAGTCTTCATCAAAAGACAACTTTGCAGAATGTTCAGTCCTTTTCAGAATTTTGTTTCCCAATTAAGCAACCTTATTTGTCTTGGATCAAGGTCTTGAATTGACTTAGGCTTGGGCCAATTATTGGCAGTTGGAGTTTAAGAAATGCATTGTTTGTTTGCTGTATGAAGTCCCATGATGATATCCATCTAGCTGCTGCAGACATCCCAATATATATAGGGAAGATATCTCACTTTCAGTCACTTTCTTGATCCTGGATCTGAATTTGAATTCTGTCACACTTACTGTAAGATTGTAAGCTAAGTGATTTGCTCACAGCTGTTCATGTCCTGAATCTTTTTGCTGTATTATATTTAAGTGATCTAACCACCATCTGAGAAGGCTTTTGATACAGGAATGATTATTTTGTTTGGTCATTTCAGATCCTTCAAACTCTCCAAACAGATACTGAAGACTGGGACACAGCAGCTGATATGCCGGGGATATGATGCACTCTGCAAGGATAATTCTAGGAAGGGCTCTTGAGCTTTTGGCCCATAAATCTAAAAAAAGGCCCACATTTTTAAAAGCAGTGGGGCTATATAAAATTGTAGTATTTAGGCATCACATAGAAATTGTTCCAAATTTCACTTAACAGTGCTAAATGGACCCACATCAGAAAATTCCCGGAATGGTCCCTGACTGTGTAGATATCTCCATCCACAGACTGTATAGGGAATCTTCATCATTGTCAATACGAAATTGCACATCAGAACTGCCAGCTTCACTGATAAGTTTCATACCTTTTGATATATTTACCCAGTGAGATGTTACATTTCTGTAAGCACTATTAATGCCGTTTGGTACAGACACTATTTAAGTGCTATTGAATTGCACAACTAAGCACTATAGTTTCCCTCAAGTAAAGGTATTTACAGATATTCTCACAATGCAAATACCTTGTGTACGATGCCATACTTCATCCTCCACAAGTGTAAACATGATGAGGTTACTCTCTAGGTATTTCTGTACTTTAAGCTTGGATCATCTCCCTGTTCTGTTATACGGGGAGATAAATGGTTGTGCCGTGTTATTTATTCTGTCATGTATGTGCACATTGTATATTTATGTTTTGAAGTAGTTTAAGAACTCTTTTGACGAGTAACTGCAATCTGGGGTGATTCACAGTCGGAAGACCTATGAGAAACATTTCTCTGTATGTCCTTGTCATTATGTGATACTGGATTGCTTCAGTAGCCAAACATTTGCTAGATTAATTCCTATTCATGCAATAATATTGCTAGATAACATAGTCTTGTAATTTTCATTTAAGTTATCCCACTCCAAATATTTGTTTTTGTACCTCGACATTATTTTAAAGAAACAGTTAGCAGAGCTTCAGAGTGATTTGAAGACTTTGGGGTCAAGTGACCCATTACCTGAGAAAGGCAATGTCACACTTGAGAAATAATGGTCCTAGGGATCCATATTTCTCCGATATTGAGGGTCATTTGTTTTCACAGGGACAAATCACCCAGGCCCCTGGCAGTCTGAAGCACTGAATAACTTATATAGTGTACATTAGACTAGGAGTAAAGGGTCCGCCACATTTAGAATACTCTGTTACTGGTTGTGAAGATAGTTCTTGATAAGGTTTGATATTGAGCGGTTTTCCTCAACATGGAGATATAATAATGTTTACCATCATAATTGAAAACAACAGTTTGTCATAATTGTTTAATGATTTGTGTGGACTGGCACCGTCCACCCTTTACAGCTGTTTCTATATGTAGAGATGGTACGACCTGCTTTCACGTTGAATACATGTTGATATTACTGTTGGTGATTACTGTCATAATGCTATGAAAGGGAGTGTGGTTATTGTGTTCGAAATTAAGCATGTAAGTCTTGGGTCCTTTTCAGGACCCTAATGTTTAACATTATGCATTTAGGTGTGTCTCGATTAAGATTTTACAGCTGGAAACACAAAGGACCCCAGGACCTTCCTTAGTTTCGAACACTGTGTATGTATTGTATTATTTAAGTCATCCACTCAATAGAGTCGTGAAAAATGAGAACATAATTGCCTATCAGTGTTATGTCTACTGCAGCAGGCTTTCAACTATGCATGCTCAACAGACAGAACAGTGTGACACCACATTCTTTGACAATGAAGGAATTCCGTCGGTCATACTCATGTATGAGGGTATCCTCAGAATAATAGGGTAATATGGACAAAAGCCAGGAGGTCCTCATGCCTTGTAAATGATAATAGGATTTATTTGCCTTACCAGGGCTGTAATGGTACACTTTGTCACAATACAAATTGTATCTTGATAGAAAAGTCATGATACGATGCTCTACTACAAAATTTAACTCTTGTTTTGTAAAAGCACCATCTTCTGTCGTCAATCGAAAGACGAGCTAACCAAACCGTATCTTATGAGTATGAGTCATCACTTAAAAGGTTTCAGAACTTCTGTAATTAAGGTCAGAGAAGAATTGTACAATGTATTTTTCAAAGGCGTGAAAGATTTTCATTGTATGTTCATACATCGTGTTACACAGACATCGTCATAGGATACTTTATCATGTCACAAACAATCACGATGTGTCGGAATTTTGGTGAATCAGTAAGGATATATCTTTTACCGTCTTCAATAAACATGATAGGACCATCTGGTAAAATTTTAAGGTTACTACTGTAGTCAAGTTACTTGACAACCTGTCAACCCTGCGAGTTTGGCACCAATGTTGAGGAGGGATATCGGCACCTTTATTGATGCTAATGTTGAGAGGAGGTATGGCACGTTTGTCAAGTGGAGCCAAGAACAAGCCTGAATGTTTCACATCTACTGAACTAGAGGTGATAAGCATAACGCAGATAACTGCTATAATATATGTACAATGTTGTTCATTGGTCATGACATAACTTCTAAGCTTGGGAATATTGTTCTCAAATCAGGGCATTATGAATGTGTAAATAGTCGTACCGTATTACCCCACTTAAGTGTGCTATTGAAGGCCAGTGCTAGTTTTGTTTGCTGCTGATTTAGGTTGCTTAGTTCAATCTTTGTTTTGCGTTTGTTAAAACCATCTTACAATTGTAGATTTGGAATTTGTAAATAATATTCATTATTTTCTGTTTTTAGATAATGAATTGACAGAAAACAGCCAGTATCAATTAAGTGTTGATAGCAATTGTTCAGAGACTAGAAGTTGAAGGTTAGCATGGGTCTCTCTCATTCCATCAATATAACATATATTTTGAGATAATGTGGAGTAAAGTATCTGTGATGAGATCAGGAATTATTATCTGTCATGTTGACAGCTTACGATGCTTATATATCCACAGAAAAATACACAGTTTTTATTACTATGTTCATTTCAAATAAAAAACAAGAAAAAGTAGAATATTAAATTTACCGGTACATATTTCTTTTACCTAAACATTCATCGTTGTCTATACACAACTGTATACCTTCATAAATAGACACAGGATTCATTAGTTCTAATATGTTTGTGTTGTCATTTTTTTTGCAACTTTTCGGCAAGAATGGAAACGTCACAAATTTGAAAAGTAACAAATTGACAAATAACTGCTAAGCTAGTGCTGCCATTGAATTGTATATTCTTTTTTCTGTGGTTCTCTAATTATGTTTCAAAAATTGTTTGTCTTTACCACAAACCTTTATGGAACGACAGTTGTGTTAATGTGTTACTTTTCTGCTTTATTAATTTTTACTCATGAAGAAGGGAACGGTTGTTTGTTGGAAATGCATTTTCAAGGTGATAGAATTTCATTTTATTTTAGATCCTACTTTCAAAAATTGTTTTGATAGAAATATTTTGCATTTCAATTTTTAAAAAATAAAGTATTTTCAAGTTAACAGTTGGCAATTTGTAAACCATTTTTTTTTTTTCACAAGTTCCTGTCAGACTCATAATATGTAGTATCAGTTATTGTGTTCATGTGGACAGGCTGACACAAACCTGTCTAGCAGCCAACTGTACAACTCTCATTCCAGCTTTAATCATTATTCTACCTCCATTGAAATGATGCCACGGTTCATGAAGCTGGCTGTTATCTGAGGGGCAAGATCAGACGACATTAAACATTCATGTGGCAGCTAAAGTTGCCCGAATCATTGCATGTTTAGATGTTTACTGGTAAACAAATGAAGGAAAACTTGTTGCATGCTTTGTGAGTTGGGGTTGAATGATGCATCACCTTGTCTGTGATAAGTTCTACATTTCTAGGTTTGTCAGCACCTTACCCATACTGGTGGGTTTCACCAAAGTGGTAAACAGAGAATTGTATCTCTTCTGGCTTTCCTTCCACATTAAGCTGACACGCCTCGATATAACTAGACTACTTTTCAGAATGGCGTTAAATGCAACTCACTCACTAGTTCCGGTGATAAGTGAATACTAATCGCCCTCCAAATGCGTTTTGGTTTTATGAAACTGGTGAGGGAGCAGATGACCCATTTGTTGAAGGGTTCCAATTCACTGTGCATCTCTTAGGGGGACCAGAGAACTAGGATCGTGAGACCGAATCCAAAAAATCGCCCAGATTATACTTTTTGTTTTGTCAGCACCATACCCATGCCCTGATGTTTCCAAAGTTGTAAATGTCAAAGGCCTGCACTAAATAGGGCTTTCCTCCCACACTTTGCTGACACAGCATGATATAACTGAAATACTGATCAAAGCCGTGTTAAACCATACTTACAACATAGTCATTAATTCGTTGTTGTCTGTCAAATATGCTGAAGATGTATGCACTGCTTGTCACTACATGCACAGGTGTAAGCAATAATTATACTTTCCTAAAATTCAGATTCCTTGACAGCAGTCAATACAGTGTATCAAATACATTCTGGTTGTTTTTTTAATTGGCTATCATACTTTAACTGCTAGTGTCCAAGCAGACAGCTGTTGATCCAGATAACTGACACAGCTAGTGGTTGTTCATGAAACACCTCACAGTAACATAGTGCTAACATATGTTTGTCTCTGGCCAACCAATGACAAGACCTAAGATGTGTAAAAAAGAATAGGGACCAAACAAAATACAAAGTTTGCCAATCATAGTATTCGCTGAGCCCGTTATGAGATGATCAAGCTCCAGAAAAGCGAGAAAATGCATTCCTTTCAACTTTTTCAGAAGTCTTGTCCAGCACATAATGAACACAGCCAGTAGTTTTGTGGTGTATGTTTCAGATGGTTTGGTCTTATAGTGTATACTTTTGACAAATAACATAAATATATAATTATTGGAACACATCATTCTGTAGTTTGTCATCTTCATCTTTGTTTGTTTACCAGTAATGCTCTTCATTATAATAGGTGGTATTTTTGACAAAAAGAATTCTTTATTTAAAAAGTACTGATTCAATGTCAGCATCTTGTTTAGATAGTAATTGAAGAATTTATACCAGGTGGACTGTTCTTTAACGTAGGTTACAGATTACTATTATCAGAACGAAACTTGATTGTGTCATGAGAAGACAAGTATGCTGTTAAAGAGACCCACTCAGGCATCTATCTATTGTCTTGTTATAAAGCAATATATCTGTATATTACCGCATGATAATATGTAAATTGTATATATACACCAAGGCTTATTTTCGCAAGCACTGTTGAAAGTTTTGTCTTGTATTGAAATAACTATTTTCCGAGTGATTACTTTTTACACAGTCCTACATGTACAGTGTTAAATAATATGAAAGCGTAATATTTTGAATGGCAATTTTGTGTTATTATTTTTGCAGCATCAAGTAAGGATAATGAGATAACACTCAGTGATGGGGATTTCATTTGATTAAATGATTAATAATGAGGTTCTATCTCAAGCAGCTGGGAATAGATACCAGCTCATTTCTAGTTGTTTTTGGAAAGGCTAGTTGATTGTACAAGACATTACATTAGCCTTGCTTTCTGATCTGATCTTGGAGGGAACCAGATTTTACCATCTGCAGTACTAGAATTCTTGAGTTGACCGTTTTTCAACCTTTCATAAGGCTCTATGTGATTCACCATGCTCTGTGTTACAACGAAGGTAAGATGAAGTTGAGAAACTGACTTGACCAGTTTCTAGTTCTCAAATAAGGTAGGGACAGACCATGGAACAAGTGAAGCTTTGTGTCAATTAGAAATGGTGTTCAGTCATGTTCATATGGCTTTCTTTGCAACGAGGCATGGTGTTCTTGACAGGTCCTCTGATTAAATTGTGTATTGTTTGTACCAGAATCATGTCATTAGAAGTTTCATGTTCTTCAAATTTGAATTCTGTCCATTTAACTGCTTGTATGACATTATCATGACTTGTTTCCGATATACGGATGAACCACATGAATTAACAACTTCATATGTGATGTGCCCTCAAGTTCTTGTTCTGAAAATATCCCAAGCCATCTAAAAATGGGAAAATGTTATCAATAACAAGACTGGTAGTTTCCCTGAACTGTCGATGAAGGCACTGTTCCATGAATTGAAGGAAAATAAATCTTATCACAGGCTGATGATGTGCAAGCAAAGTTTGCAAATGAAAGTGACAGTTCTGGCAAATGTGTGAGAACTCATCAGTGTTTTGTGACCTAGGCACCCAAAAGCAAAGGCACCCCCTTCCCCCAGCTGGTGGATACTGTTCCATTACAATCTCTCCCCTCTTTATGCAAATTTAGCAGTATCCCAATGTTCCCCAATGTTGTACAAAGTTTCAGCACTGTTGATCCATGAAATAAAAAATTAAATTTTCATAGCATTATCTTTGTTTTGTTGTTTGTTCATTATCAATCATTATATGTCTAAAACAAGGCGTAGACCACTTTAGCTCCTGCCGCCACTTGTATAGAGTAACATCTAGTAAGTTGTTAAATTATGGTTATAAAATATAATTAAGTGACTTTCGTCATTTTCAGATATGATAGTATCATACTGCAGTAATCTAGACTTACCCACGATCACAGACTTAAATAGGCTGTATGACAGACTACCGCTTGTAACCCCCCCTGAAGAGTGTTTTAGCTTGACACATGGATTATCTGATATTGTTCAATAACCAGCAAATAGCAAATTCCCTCCACTGATTTACCCGCCTGAGCTAGAAATAAAGGATACCAGTGTTTTATATTTAGTTTGTTTCTTATTAAGGTACATTCAGAGTGACAAAAATACTCCCCACAAGACTATGACAAGGGCTGAAGGTGAATTTGGAGACGGAAAGACTATATATGTAATGCATTGTGAGCCTATGTAAATCATCCAACAATATATTTCTAATATTTGTCTAGCGTCACATGACGTTGCAGCTGTCACATAAAAGTGTATGACGTCGCTTCTTCCTCGCATGTAACGCAGTTCGTCATTTCGGATTGAAAGATCTGCCAGTTATCTTTTATAGAGGAAGGTGAGGAAGCCCTGATCTGTCAAAAACAACCGTACCGTCATCCCTTACTCCACTCACCACTTACATTTTCACGACAGCTTCAATTAATATACATTAAATATAGACCACTGAACAACTCCTGCCTCTTGCGCTATTTTCAAGATGATTTACCTGCCACACGTGCTGTTCACTCCTGCTGCCTCATGCGTACTGCTGTGAAAATGATTTCCCTGCCACACGTGCTATTAACTCCTGCTGCCTCAAGCGTACTGCTGTGAAGATTACTAACCTGTCACACGTGCAGTTCACCACTCCTGCTGCCTCATGCGTACTGCTGTGAATATTACTTACCTGTCACACGTGCAGTTAACCCCTCCTGCTACCTCATGCGTACTGCTGTAAAAATGATTTTCCTGCCGCACGTGCTTTTAACTCCTGCCTCAAGCGTACTGCTGTGAAGATTACTTACCTGTCACACGTGCAGTTCACCCCTCCTGCTACTTCATGCGTACTGTTGTAAAGATGATTTCCTGCCACACGTATAGTTAATCCCTCCTGCTGCTTCAAGCGTACTGCTGCGAAGATTATTTACCTGCCACACGTGCAGTTCACCACTCCTGCTGCCTCATGTGTATTGCTGTTGAGATTATTATTTGTTTGTTGTTTAACGCTGCACTCTGGTATATCCCAGCTATATGACGGCGGTCTGTAAATAATCGAGTCTGGACCAGACAATCCAGTGATTGACATCCACGCAATGGGGATGCGATGACATGCATCAACCAAGTCAGCGAGCCTGACCACCCGATCCCGTTAGTCGCCTCTTACGACAAGCATAGTCGCCTTTTACGGCAAGTCATGGGTTCCTGAATACCTATTCTACCCAGGATCTTTACGGATCTGGAGAATATTGACCCGTATTGACTAAGAACAGTAGTTAACTATGATTTGCATTCCCGTTTCTCATTTTCTCACGTTGACAGACTGGCACACTAGAAATAAGAAATAACAGTAGGTCTGAGACTGAATTACAAGCACGAGGAATACCAGGTGAGATTTAACACACTGACAATTTTATTATCTTTACATGTTCACACGGAAGATTAATAGTCTCATTTTATATGCTTAAGCTTGGTAGTTATTAGAGTCGTTTACGTGCACGCAGCCATTACCTTGTCGCATGGCTTGCAAACATTATAGTGTTCTATGAAAAGCACGTAGAAATTGGCAGTTGTCTGCCAGCTAAATCTGTTGGGAATATTTCATGACCAAAATGGCGGCCCACTCCCACAGAAATCAACGCGTCTCATCTCGTTGTGTTATTTATGCGCAGGGGTACCTAGACTCGGCCTTGTGTCATGTTACAAAGAGAAATTCGCCGTTTGTTATACCGTACATCAACGTTTGATGACTTTAATGGCAAGACTATGAAAAAGTAGGAACGCCAATCAATGTTTGATGGCGATCGGCGATCATAACTCTCCCATGAAATCATCCAAGGTAACGGAACCGTGCACTCTATCTTCTGTCTGCTGGCACAGGTCACGTGACGTTTTCCCTCGGCGACAGTAACGTCTCTTTTTATCACCGCCAGCACAACTCTACGGTGGAAATGACACGGTGATTTTTTAGCCGTAAATGAAATGAAGTGGATAGGACGCTGGCTGACAGATGGACAATACTTGAGATAGATCAATCGACGTGGTTGTCTCCAGACGATGGGGTGATGTAGTCGTTGTAGACTCTCATGTCGTTGTCCTTCCTGTCTCGTATCGGCCACAGACAGCCACACAGGGAAAAGGATGCAAGTCAAGTCGCTTCACGTCGTCTTCATTCGAAGGCAAAGGAATATGTGATCTTGTTATTTATCGCATACTCTGCAAAAAAGAAAGAAAAGGAAACGCAAAAGTAGTAAATATCTGACAGAGTTTTGTCGACATCCATACAAAATTAATACCAAAAATCAATTGGTCATGTCTGCATGAATTGGGATTGATTTGTGTGGAAATAAAGAGTGAGTTGGGTGTAAAGCCGCTTTTAACAGTATTCCAGTTTTATCACGGCGTGTCAGCTTAATGTGGGAGGAAAGCCCGAAGTGATGCAGGTCTAAGACGTTTCCCACTTCGGTGAAACACACGAGCACGGGCATGGTGCTGACAAACCTATAAACATAATCGGCGCGAAGCGGGATTCGAACCCACAATCATAGGTTTCTGGCGCACCCAAGGGACGCAACTCTGCACAGCGAATCGCGGCGCCTTAGACGACTGGGCCCCCCGTGCCCCCCTGGTGAGTAAATAAGAAAACATGTAACTTTAAGGATAATAACTTTCGGTTTAATGCATTAAGCGACGTTTCGATGTAGATTCTTACACCGTTATCAAGTTGGAGGCAACGTTTGTCAACCGTTGGTAATGCAAACCCACAGGAATGGGTGTATTTTAAAGATTGAAGATTTTAGTTGGAGACAAGTAATGGTTACTCACAAAAAAATAGTTTGTGATAATTTCAATACAGTTAAGAAAGATACTGACTCTTTGTTGTAAATTCAAATATGGTAATTGACAAACGATGCGCGTACACGGACATTTGTCTATTACCCATTCATGTTAAATGAAGGTACATTTAGTCTGAGGTTATACTGTAAAGGGATTGAAGTCTTTGATAGGCATTTGGAAGTTGGGAGAACACTTTTATGGATAGCAACTTCCTTTATTCTACATTACGACGTTTCAGAGCTACTTCTTGCTCCTTCATCAGGTGAATGCTTAGTAAGTGCATAGAGTAAGAAAATAAATAAAAATAAATAAATACCCCACTCAGACACAGTATACTGACTCCGAGCCGACCAGTCCTTGTTTTAGCCCCTAAATGCTGAGCGCCAGACAGGGTAACAACAAGTACCATCTTTTAACGTCTTTTGGTATGACGCGGCCGGGGAACGAACCCCGGACCCCGGAAATATATGCCGGAGAGCGGAAGGTCCGGGGTTCGTTCCCCGGCCGCGTCATATATATAATTACACAACACAAGGTGGAATGAATGAACAAAGATAACATTATATTGTTATCCATAAAAAAGTGTCTTGTATCCATGTAAAGTGATTCTCAAAGATATGAAACATTACATCCTTTTTTTATAAAACAAGAACGTTAACACCGTTTCAGCTTTCATGCTGCACAATTTGCATGTGCAACAAGATGCATCTATCATGCAAAATGATATCGAGTTGAGCCTATATATCAGTCCATGGACATCCGCGATTCTTCACAAAAGGACTTTCTATTCATAATTCTGAAGTACATTCTTAACCAAACGATTACAAGATAGCTTCAAACCTCTGATACATTCATTCTTTCACATAATAAACATGATATTCCACGTGTAGCCTTCACATTCAATCAAAACATCCAATTGACATACAAACTGACATATTTACACAAAAAATAATATTAATAATATTGTTTAATAGTTAATAAAACAGTCGCCTCAACATTCTGTCAAGAAAAGACGTGTATCTTCTCGTTCATTTATAACACTGGAGTGATCCATTCTTCAGATTGCTGCTTCAAGTGGCAACTTCGTTTAAACATTCATATTAGGTTGCGTGGAAACCCCCATTAAGATATTTACAATAACGTACATCATTTATCATTCATATTTGTTCAAGTCAACCTCATGAATCAGTGTTACGACATGATTACCCTTAAATTGCGATGTCTATCCCCTGCGTTCTTTTAAATAACTCACGATAAACATTTACACAAATTATGTTGAACCTCCGCAGATTAACTTTAATCTTTCATCTAACATGTTTACGACATGTTCGTATCATCCTGTAAGATTTATCTTACATATTCACACACATTTCTCTTTTATATTTAACACCTCTCTTCTTATATGAAATGATTTATGTTCGTACTTAAGTATGTTCACGATTAAATGGTTCATTGTGAGTGTTTTCGTGGTCTAGTGGTAGAGTGTCTGCCCGGAGAAAGGAAGGTCGGGGGTTCGATCCCAGGCCGCGTCACCCCGAAAGACGTTGAAAGATGGTCCTTGTTGTTACCCTGCCTGGCGGTCGGCATTAAAAACAAGGACTGGTCGGTCGCCTGGGATTTTGTATTGAGCCCCATATGTTTTCAGCTGCAGTTGCATAACCAGATATTGTTTGAATTAAAACAATGATCCAAATATATTTTTTCGGAAGAAAGCATTGTAACAATGTATTTTTTTGTGACAGACAGTTTCTTGTTTTTGCAAACATCAAACTTTATTTTTTCGAGAATGTTTGGTGATAATTTATTTATTTCGATAATATATACTCAGATTTGTTATCAATTATCATTTTTTACTTAACAGGCATGTCAAATATGTAC